AGATTCATCTGTCCACTTTTTCTCATTGAGATTCATGCAAAATTTGTAGCTAGTGCGAATTGGTCGAGTTTTCAAGATTTTCTTACCGGAAAATTACTTGGCAGAACACTTTTCCGACGGAACAAAGTTGGCAGAATAGTTCGCATAAGCTTTCTGTGTCATCAAGATGTCATCTGCAAAACTCGGAGCTTGTGCACATTGGCAGAACGGTTTTCAAGCGATTTCAAGCTGGCAGAATAATATTCCAGGACTTTGTTCAACATAACAAACTCGGATTTATCAGTTTGGAACTTGTGCAGATTGGTCAAAAATTTTCCTAAATTTTTCCGTGGAAAAACTCTTGGCAGAACGATTTTCCGACCAATCAGACTGTAATAGTAATTTATTGATGCAACGAACACTACAGTGTATAGCATAAGTCATTAAAGAAGGTATGTACAAGCTAATTAAAATCTCAGAATTTCTCTAGTTAAAATACATGAATGAAAATCTGACACATGAGTCATAAGTCATAAGAAGTAATACATGTCGTAAAATTATTTCTGGTGAAAGATGAAATTTGTGAAAGAAAAAATCACAAATGTGACATAGTTTTATTGTAATTAATTCTTTTTATAGAAATAAAAAAAACATTAATTACTTTTGAACCATCAACAATTGGATAACCACATATACGGTGAGTTTGATTTGAAATGACCCCCCCCCCTACCACCCCACTCCTTTTGATCCATGACTCATTGGACACCCTGTATAATGATCCTATCAAGTTTGAAGCTTGTATACTTATATACTTACCTACCCTCGAAATTATACGGATTGTCTGAAGAAAACGTCTTCCATGCAATGATGAAGTGTATTATTTATAATTCTACTTATTGAGGAGAACCTAAGATTGCTGGAAACTATGTGCTTTTAAAAAATTATGTCATTATCTTTAACCATGTCTGCATAAATATATATATATACCGAAGTAACAGTCAAATTTTTCCACTGTATATCATATTCGACTTGTTTTTGTATCCTTCATAAAGAAATCGTATTCTCAAAAGCTATTAAAGACGGCTCAGGATTCTCATCAGATTGTATAAAACGGCACTGCTCATAATAAAATCATTCTCTTGGTACAGTTTCGCAACCGCTCAGTTTATTTCGCCAGTTACAGGAAGTTATAAAGGAGGAACTGAATTTTTCCACCGCTAGCTATAAAATTGTTCTTATCCGTCATGCGGTTGCCCCCTTACGATCAATCCTCAGAAGTCTTCAAGAGACTTGTGAGAGCAAGGAATGACCTTACCTTTTAACGTGTGATCCCAAACGATCGGCAAGCGAACGCTATAGAATACTAACGCTTCAACCACGCGGCTGCCTGACCTCCTAGTCTACCAATATTTATTCCTTTTCAAGGCGTGAAGTGTGGTAGTTTTCGACATTTCATGCACTACTCGTCAATGAAGACATAGCCACCTCTGTTATAATAAACCGGAATCCACTGTTCTGATGCGAGATTCGGAAAGGGGGTAATTACCCCCCCCCAGGACACAGGGGGTATCAGGGCATCGGCTAAAAGAAATTTACTTCTCAGCCAAAAATTAGGTAATACTCAACTCAAAATTCTTTGTCATACTAGATGTAGATAGGCACGAATCAGTGCTGCAATTTAAAAGAAGCTTTGAAAGCATTGTTGATTTGCTCAGAATCATTTCAACTTGGAAGCTGAGATTCTCAAAACTGGAATTACTTCTACAGAATTTATTGTTTCTCTTTATAGCTTGAGTGAAATTTTAGATTTAACAGTTAATGTAAGAAAGATTTTACAAACAAAATCAATCGACAGACAATATGTTGGTAAAGTTATAGAAAATGTAATTTTGGTTTTGGAAGAAAAACGAAGCAATGCTGAGCGTCAATTTAAAGCTATTTTTGAATTGGTTTGTGATATTCATGAAAAAATTGAGATAGATATTCATAGTCCAAGAATAATAAAACGACAAGTATATCGTAGTAACATACTAGCATAAAATGTTGAAACTTACTAGCTCAACTAGTACACACCTTTGTTGGATCATGTTACGAACGACTTTCGTTTTAGGTTTGATGAACAGGGACTGAATACTTTTGAGTTCAATATATTTTTTTATTCAATTTTTTGTTCAAGAAATCCCGATGCACTTACTGAATCACTTCAAACAATAACAGACTACATCAATAGGTTGCATGAGAATATGAGCAATGATATAACTTTCATAAAACTAAATTCTGAGTTTCAGTTGTGGAAATCCGTTACACAAAATGATGTTAAAGATGGTTTAGATCTCTTTATATCTTGTGATGGAGATATGTTTCCCTTATTAAACAATGCCTACAAATACTTGTTACCTTGCCTGTTAGTGTGGCTTCTGCGGAAAGGAGTTTTTCCTGCCTTAAACGGTTGAAAACTTGGCTACGCTCAACCATGCTGCAAGAAAGGCTTTCAGGTTTGGCAATGCTATGCATACATAGAGAGATTCAGGTAGATGTCGAAGATGTTATTAATCGATATGCTACCAAAAAAAATAGAAGAGTAGACTTTATTTTGTAATCTCCTCTTTCCAAAGAGTTTTTTTGTTATATTTTGAGATGTTTTTTGTTATTTAAGTGTTTTAGTCTTGTTTTATTTTTGTTCAAATGTTGATGAAAATTTTTTTATGTTCTTGATTTTTTTTATTCGTTTTTCATTTTTAGTTTCTATACTCAATGATAGGTTTCTGTTTCCTATATTTGGACATTTACCCCTCCCAGAACTAAATCCTAGATGCGCTACTGCCCGGAATCTAGTATTTATCAATAACGACTTGTCAATCAGAATTGAAAACAAGCGCTTTCATAGTGACAATTGGTCCATATTTGAGTTTCACAGAACTAAGTATATAATGAAAAGGAATGTTCTCAGATTAATTATGAACATGGAAAAATGGATATATATATATATAAAGAGATACATTGAGGATTCGCTTTCTCTATGTGATAAAAATATCAATTCTCTTTCGGTTTATTCAACAGAAAACCACCTATATGCCAAGACGAACATTGAATTATATCTATTGAACACACACGATAAGAATTTGAAAACAAAATCTTCTAGAGTTGAGAATTTGCATTCTCCTTCAGATAAAAATATGTATATGCACATAACATCATTCTGAATATTGACCAGAAAACACCAACTTCCCTGGCTATTTGCCACGTCGAACATTGAATTATATCTGTTGAACATCCAAAAAGACAGTATGAAAAGTAAGAATCCTTCGAAATTGAGAATTGACAATCTCTCAAATCTGATAAATAATATGATGTATTATGATAGAAAAATATAACCTACCAATATAATCAGTGTTGAAATGTATAGGAGAAGTATACTTGTATAAACTCTGATCTTGATGATCTTGGGACTTCCAAAAATTCATCTGAGAATATTCCTTTTCAATACTTTCACCCAATCAAGCGGTTCAAACTTGAACGATGGAAACTTATTATTTCTGAAGACCTTCAATCGCAATCTTTAGAGATTATTATAACGAATTTAGCAATACCGGGTTGGATTGGGTTCTTTCAAACGATTACGAAGATATTCGCGTTCGAAGTTTCCATAAGCTCAATGAGTGTGACCGAGATAGAAATTTCGATATTGCGCCGTCACACCCATTGAGCTTATATGGAAACTTCGAACGTGAATATCTTCGTAATCGTTTGAAATAACCCAATCAAACCAGATTTGTTGAATTCGTTATAGTAATCTCTAACCGATTATGGAAAATACAGGGTGTTTCATCTGAAAATCAATAGCTGATGTCATTTCCAGGAAAACCGAACGATGAAATGAAATCCTAAAATGTGAGAAAGTGTCCTCTAGTGAGCATGTTCCATTTCAGAAATATAGCTAGGAAACCAAAGGGAAAAGGGGGCTATACCATGAGTTTGTGTGACCCAGTTTATTGCTAGTGGTGAAAAAAAATCAATATACACCTTTATAGTAAAGAATATCATTACCACTTGACTTTATACCCCTCGGCTGGAGCCTCTGGTTAAAATCTTGGTCCCTGGGAACGATGATAATATATTCATTACTACCTTGGTGTATAAATAACTATTGCTCAGTATTTGTTCAATATTACAATTAATTATTACGAATTCAGTTGAGTACCAACCTCACTGTTCAGCTCACTTGCTTATCGGTAGCGCATTTTTCTTAGCTTAATAATTATTTGCAAAATGTAATGGTGACTAAAGATTGCGGTCTGAAAAAGGCGAGGCACCTCAACTCGATGCAATACCCACCTTCTAATTCGCTGTTCAAATGTCAAAGAATCTTTTCGGCTTTCATCGAGTCGATATACAGGTGGGCATGTGTGCGAATATAGTTAATTTTGTTTGGTATGTTGTTTCATTCATATTTATTGAAATCATCTTCTAAATAATTCATAGCTGTCTTGCGGTATGGTGAAATCTAGTTCAATTATTTCTTTCAGTTCCATAATGTGCCAAAAATTTGCCAACTCCGATTTCCTTATTCAATGATGATTATTTGATCGTTAATTTTATCTAACAATTCCTCCCTAATTATATTTCTTCCAGTTATTATTTTCGATTTAAAAACAAACTCCGAGTTGCTTTCGACAAAATCTTTTCAAATTTTATCCATAAAAACTGACTGATGTATGGAAGACAACAAACACAACTTTTTTTGGAGAGATTACCCCCCAATCATCCCTGTAAGGGCAAATAACATATAAACAAAAACTGCATTATCATTCTCCTCAATAAGGAAGAGTTGAACGGAAAACTAATCGATCTTTAGAATTAAACTAACATGCAATATTTATATTGCCTGTTATCTCTTATCTGAAATAAAAATGGCAATAAATAATAATCAATGAACATTCACGAGATGTGCATTATTATCGGTAACGTCTAGCAAGCACGTTCTCAATATTCTTTGTTCAAACATAAATTCATTGTTCCAGAATCCCATGGGACCATGGCAAATCTACCGAGTGATTCTAGACAACCACCAGATGGGCATGAGTTTCCTGATTTCATAGAAGATACCAGGAAACATCCCGAGCAGCGGTATTTTCAAGAAGCTAAATCGCAAAAAAGTGTCTCGACAGCAACGTATACTCCACTAACAATGCAGACCTCCTTAGAAGATATCCCCAAGGCAAGTAATCTCCTACTTTGCCAACAAGTCAGTGCCTCGAATACCGATCTGTGTCCGAAATTGTACGATTCCGCTGAGGATTTGAAGAACACAGAACCAATTCCTGAACCAAGTAGACTTCACATACGATCCCAGAGTCTGGTCGATATGACATCAATCAGCAAACAGAAGAACAATAAATGGAACCAACTCATCGAGCAACGAAAAAAGGGACTGTCGAAACTCAAAGGACTAGTGATTCCAGAGAATATAGAAAGTGATACATCAACATCTGTGAATATACCGGTAATCAAGAGTCAGAACACAACTGTGAATATACCTGAATTTAAGAGCCGAAACGCTGATATGTTTGTGCATGTGCCAAAATTAGATAATAACGGTACCAGTGATGAAATTCATGTGAGGATTCGCCCTGAGATCTCCAGATCCTCATTGGCTGCACTTCCTTGGGCTTCAGATTCTCCTAGCAGTTTTCCTAAATATTCTCCAGCTTTCAAGAGAAAAAGTCTTCAAGTCTACCCGACAAATATTAGTAAGAGTGAAAGTGAGTACCAAACAACAATCGAATTTCCTAAATATTGTGATAAATCTAGCGGTAAAAATAGTAAACTGAGTGATGATGACCTGCATCCTCCCAAATCTTTGGAAAGCATTTCCTCGCCTACCAGATCAGACTGCAGCTTCGACTACGTGAACTCTACGAGGAGATACATCAAAGAATCTGATTCCTATGCAAAACTGGCAAATAACAAAACTGAGGACGAGAGCGACAACGATTCGGCTGTGAGTTCTAGTCAATCCAGCTACAACTCGAGATATTCCCCTCCTCCGTCGCCTAATAGGTCTTCCGATCTCAATAATTTTAGCAAAAAAGAGGAAGACGAAGACGACGCGAATGCCCATAACCGATTGCTGAAGAGGTCGAGCGTCGAAGCCATCAACAGGAAAAACATTTTGGCTTCAGCAAAATGCAGAAGTGGCAAGGATCTGAAGATCGGTTCCCCGGTCATCCGCAGAAGACAGGAAGAAACAGCTAATGGCGAGGACGAAGAGGATAAAAGTGTCGCCATAGAAGCTAGGAAGACTGAATCGATAGTTTTGGAAAGAGTTGACCAAACAGTTGTTGAAGATGCAGTATCGAAGAACGAGGATGTTATTACCCGGCAACTGGTCACCGAAAATACTGATGTAATTGGAAAGATTCCGAATGAAATGAGTAATGTTGGTGAGTCGTCATGTTTCATTTTCTTTCATTTGATTAGTAATTGTTTATTTCGATCTTATCTTCGCAGCTCAAAGATATCGAAATATTCACATATTAACTTAAATAGATAAGTAACCAATATATGTTCAATAAGTACCAAAGATTGGATATGGTCGATATGAATTGACATATTTACCCTGCTTATCATTACATAGCTCTCCATGGTCATATCTCATCTCAGATACCCAATGTCCATGGTGATATTAATTGTTGGTGTGCATCCGATTTGAAATGCAGAAACTCTTGTATGTCCTACACCCTGTACCAGATATTGCCTCCAAACATCGTTCGAGGGTGATTGGGAACATAGATTCGATAGCATAGATTGAATTCCGAATTGAACTTATAGACCAGGCAATCGAGAACGCTCTAAAACTGCATCGCATCCGGCAATCATGCCGAAACGCCGCGAAAATTGGTAGTAGAAGGTTTTGGGGGCGCATAATTCGAATATGCATGTACCAAATTCACCCGACCCCCTTCCCAAAGGGTGAGTTCCGGCAGCCTGGGGGGCGAGGGGGCACGTGAATTTCAGGATTTTCTGAATGAACTTGGAAATATTTTTCATTGTACCAGTATTTCACCTGATGAAGCTACTGTGTTAGCGAAACATGTCGTGTGATTGGGAATTTTGTGGTTGTGAAGTTTTTACAGATGCCCCCCTGGGTTTTTGCGGACGAGTAAAGGGGATGCGAGGGGGGGGGATAATATGTTCTAGAAATGGCTGAAAAAATGCCTCGTTATTCCATGCTACAAGTTCATGAATCTTATCAATATCCCCACTGCCGCACCCCTTTCCACGAGCACATGGATTATTTTGTACCCTCCAATTCGAATTGAAAATGACCATTCCGCCATCTTGGATGGTCCGCCATAATGGATTTAGAATGACGTCACATCATTTTTCGAGTTACTCTCAACGAGCCTTTTCATTTGATACCCATATTGTAGAAGTATATTGAAAATAGCTATTCCGCCATCTTGGATGGTCCGCCATATTGAATTTGGAATAACGTCACATTATTTTTCGAATTACTCTCAACGAGCCCTTTCATTTGATACCCATATTGTAGAAGTAGATTAAAAATGACCATTCCGCCATCTTGGATGGTGTGCCATATTCGATTTAGAATGACGTCACATCATTTTTCGAGTTACTCTCAACGAGCCTTTTCATTTGATACCCATATTGCAAAAGTATATCAAAAATAGCTATTCCGCCATTTTGGATAGTCCGCCATATTGGATTTAGAATAACGTGACACACCTTATCGTGCATTGTCATCCAAACTGAACGTGTATACAAAATTTCAGCTCAATCGGTTGAAGATTTCTACTTCAAAATTGTGTTCAAAGATTCCACCCGAACATACATACAAACATCCATACAAACATACAATGCAACTTAAATTAAAGCTTTCAATAAAAAGGCGGGACTTTTCCTACGATCTTCCGAAAAAAACATAGGACCTGTACGAGAAAATTGCTTTATTTTTGTCTAGATTGCCTGGTCTATTGGAGATAGAAAAATCATAATTACAATATTCAATATGCAATGTGTTTGACTTTAAGTGGCGACAATTCTTGTTTTAATAAGGAGTCAGCTGATTTCCGATTTTTTTAAATATAGTCATAGGTACTCCTAAACCACTACATTCTCGTATGCGATAACAAATAAGACCCCAAAAATGACGAAAGCGTATTAGGCATTTTTTATAAATGAAACAAATATATCGATTCGGGCTCATCTGATAACCTAAAATCCCAATTTTCGATATCGTAAATTACACAGAGTTTTCGCGAGAAATCAAAAAAATGTAATTCTTTGAATGCCCTCAAAGTCAACATTTCCAACGTGAAATAAGTCACATCACTCTTTCTGTTTCAAATAGGTTAGCTTTATAGATTTGAAATGGAACAAGATTATAGTTGAAAGATGGAATTTAAAAGATAATCATTAAAATCTTGAAAGATGTCATTTCACAGTTATACAAGTATCATTTGAATTCCATCCCTTTGCCCATTTACCATCTTTGTCATACTCGTTTACCACACCACTCACTTATGAACACTTCATCAGAATCGTTAGTCGTCTACGTACACCTGATATGTAAGGAAGGAGATATTAGCTTGCAGCAGCTCGCGTGAACCCTTCTTACAGAGTTTTTTTTTTCGAAAAAGTGAAGTGGTTGGAAGTTCTTCTAGAAATTTCAGGGACATATTTGTTCATATACCCCCTCCCCTAAGTATAGGATTTGTTGAGAAACTACAGGAAGTTGAACTGCATCAGGGCGTTATAGTGTTTCCACCTCGGTTTCCACAATAAATCGGTAACGAATCGGTAATGTATCGGAAATTCTTCCAATTTGGATAACATTTTGTATTTTTAAACTACCTCACTATTCACTATAGTGGCAAAAGCTTGGATTTACACAGTTATATCGGTGATAGATTGTATTGCGCATACAGTGTGTCCAAGATAAGGATGTCTTCGTATCCTTTTCTTGGACACGGTGTATATGTATTTATTTTATTCGTTAGTATCTTTGCATATGCTGCTTTAAAATTCAAGAGAATTCTAGCCAACAATTCATCAGAAGGAATAAAGGTTTTTCGTTTTCGTTTCGTGATTCGTGAACCCGTACCTATTTACTGACGCCACCGTGTAAATTTTTGGCAACTATATTAACTAATAATCCAAGGTGACAAGAAGAACAAATACTACAAATTGAAAGCATTTTTATCGTAGGCAAATTGGGATAATGTGTACTGAGTATCTCGCCCTTGTGATGCACGCCCTGTAGTTTCAATAAAAACTCTACTTGGGGGTAAGTGTATACACTAAGTAGATATGTCACCAATATTCCTCAACGATCTTCAACCCAATTCATTTTTGTGGAAAAAAAGTATTCACCCTAATACTGAAATGCCAATCATTTGACTATTAAATTGAAAGCAAATTATATTGATATGAGTATTTATTTCATTTTCATAACATCATCATATTATAATGAAATGCTAATCATTTGACCCCTATATGAGCTCTTTGTAGTAGTGGTTGGAGTATCGTCTGATATCATAGTCATCAATTCCGGCGTTCCACAAGGATCAATTTTGACACCAACATTGTTCCTACTTCATATCAATGATCTGTTGGCAGTAACCACATGCCCCATCTAGAGTTTTGCAAAAAAAATCCAATTTCTTCCCAGGAAACTGAGAACTCACGAAGAATGCAGCTTAACGCTGTCAATGAAAATCTTGCTGAAATTACAGCAGGAGGAACCAACAACCTGGTTGAATTCAACGCCACCAAAACTCAAGCCTGTACTTTCTCTAGAATTGCGAAACTCAAATGTACGGTACCATCATTCCCACCAAATCCACTATATCTATGCTTGGTATCTCCATCAGCAAAACTATTTCATGGGAAAATCATGTCAGATCGATTGCGAAAGCTGCTTCACAGAAACTCCGATTTTTATTGCCTGCAAAAATCTACTCGACACCTGAACAGCTTCTCATAATCTTCAAAACACAGATACGCCCAAATATACGCCGATGCTCTTACATCCCATCCAAAGAAGACCCATTCGCCTGGTGGGTGATGCCACACTCACTTATTCTTTGACATCATTGGAACACTGTAGAAAAATCGGCCACCTTTCACTGAAATGGAATATTCTCAGATAAATTATGAACACGATAATAATTTGAAAACTAAATTTTCTAAAGTTGAGAATTAGCATTCTCCTTCAGATAACAATATGTATTTGCACATAACATCACTCTTCTATAGATTCTTCGGAAATCTCTGCTATCATAATCAGAGGTCATTGGTGTTTTATCACACCATGTTTGAGGGAACTTTTCACGTTTCATCGCCGAATTTGAACGTCATTTTGACGTCACCAATAGGTGAGTAACTAACGTCAATAGACGTGAGTAATATGACGTCATTGGGCTGTGACTTATTCACGTCCTTATCACGTCATACGACTTCAATTCCTGAAACGTTATCTGGTTGCTACTTCTTTATATTTTGTAGTTTCTCTTCATAATATCCTATGAATAGTTATCTATATTTACTATTTCCAAAGTACCCAGTCAGACAATTTACTACTGATTGACATTCATAAGAACTCAATCAGATGATCGAGTAGATGATACTTATGCCTCTCGAGGATTTTGTTTCCCTGTAAGATCTGATGACTATATATTAACCATGGCAACTAGCTTTGAGTAGAAGAAATTCTTACCAATACTCAAATACTATTTTTTGGTAATAAGCAATAAATTTTATTCAACTTATATGTTCGCCTAGTACCTGTTATCATAAAAACAAGTTTGTTAATAACACACAATTTTTTTTTAATTTTCGTAGACAGAAGTAGATCTCCTCCGAAGCCATATTTAAGAACTTCATCTTTACCAGTTAGTCCTCTGACATTAACCGTTCAAACAAGGAGCTCAGAGTCTCCCAGAGAACCGAGGATATCCAGAGATTTCTATAGCCACCGAAAATCAGTTCCGATCAATGTGAAGGCTTTGAAAGAAAATTTCGAAAATTTCGGATCTACTCCCTCACTAACTCCTCCAAAACCGACAACTCCTTCCAGCAAGTACCAAACAGTACCTACAAGAAACATCAGAGCGGAAATTGCCAAAAAGGAAATCAAAATCGCAAACGATATCGAAAAAGAAGAAGCTGTAAAAAAAACGGAAAAACCTCCGACTGCAACCGTCAGAGACGTTAAACCACTACTACTCGAAAAGACGGTTTTGTCTACTGAGAAGGTATCAGAAACCACCACTGTCAACTTGAAGTCTGGAGCAGTTGGAATGAGTCTTGGAATCACTTTGTCTGGAGGAACAGACGAAAATAAAGATATAACAGTAAGTATCCGCATCATTCTGTGTGATTCACGATGAATTTCAGTAGATAGTGATCTATGTGGGCTACTCCGTATTCAATACATTCGTTATTTTTTCGTTGAGGTGTCGAACTAACAGGGATGAAGGGCATTTATGATCAACCTCACCCTGAAACATCAATTGTTATTTGATTAACATCCAAATAGAATATTGCATTTTATAGGCGTATTCCGGGAGTTCGACATAGTTCTCTATAAAGTTTGACAATAATAGTCAAAAACAATATATAAAGAAATCAATACTCACTTTGAGGAATAACTGTCTAGAAATTTGTTCTGCCACACAATGTAGTATAGCTACCGCATATTCAGTTGATGCAGTTTTGTAATGTAAATTTCACATTTTATTATTATGTTGATCAATTCTTGCGCAAATCTGATTCCATTTTCTACCTATTTTTCTTCCAAACATTTTAGTGGTTTTTCAATATGCAGATACAAACTTATCTACAAGATTAACCCGAAATTGAAATTAGGAATACATTTTCACTTCTGATAACAGCATAGAAGTTTTCATACCTTCATTTTCTTGCAGATACACCGTATTAGATATGCTAGCATAGCATATCAAGATGGTCGTTTGAAACGTGGAGACAAAATACTCTCAGTGAATGGAAAAGTCACCAAAGGTCTGACTCACTCCGAGGCTGTGGAATTACTTAAGGTATTTATGATTGTATATAATACATAATATCAAACAATTCATTCGGATTATTCGGGTTTCACTCCAAAGTGTCATACAAACATTCTGAATCAAAATGATGTCGATTCTATTCAAGATCGTCGTTGAATTTCGAAAAAAATCTTCAAATAATGTTAGTAAAAACCTCCCAGCAATCCCAAAATATAAATTTTTAACTTCGGAAAGATAAATCAGAGATATACAGAGAAGTGCACAAAAAACGGCCAGGATTTTTTTGTTTTTTCGCAATTGCATACCTCGTTAGTCCCAGCACTGGGACCAAACGCCCCATAAGTCGAAACTTGTGCGGGGTTAGATATACATACAAACACAAACATCCATGGCCTAACTAGGATTCGAACCTAGGTCTCGGTGGGAGTCCCCATACGAACTCAGCGCCTTAACGCTCTCGACCATCGAGCCGCCTTGTACCTGGATTTCACCGGGAACGACCCCAACTTTTGATTTTTAAATGGGAATGTATTGTATTCGATAATCGGTTAGGGATTATCATAACGAATTCAATGATACCGGGTTTGATAGGGTAATTTCAAACAATTACATATATATTTGCGTTCGAAGTTTCCATACAATCAATGGGTGTGACTTCGCGATATCAAAACTTCTTTCTCTGTCACACTCATTGAGCATATATGGAAACTTAGAACACGAATATCTGCGTAATCGTTTAAAATAACCCTATCAAACCCGGTATCGATGAATTGGTTATGACAATCCCTAACCGATTATGGAATACAATACAGGGTGTCCCATTCAAAAATCAAAAGTTGGGGTCGTTTCCAGTAAAACCGGAAGTGATAGAACAAAAATTGTTCCGTCTGTTAATGAGCAATTTGGTATACAAGCTGCCCACTAATTTTCAAAACCCTATCTCGAATAATTCAAAAGTTACAGTCCTGACCGTTTTTTGTGCACTTCTCTGTATGTATAGGTATTTTATAATCATATCAATAAAATATTGTCCATTGCATATTCATCGCTTATAGCTTATGATGTTACCCATGTAATGATGATGCAAGCAGAAATCAGCAGAATTTCGTCAATTCTACATTCGTTTTCAAAACTACACCATATAAACCATAAACAACTTTGGAATAAAAAATGTTGGCCCACAACTTTCAGACAAAAGTACTTATTGCTTATATACAGGGTGAGTCATTAGTGTGGCAAAGTGAGATAACGGTTTTACTGTTTGAGATAGATGAAAAAAAATTCCAGAGATGATCCAGGATCATGAGCAGCACATTTCCAAATTATTTCGCTTCATACAGGGAGACTCAGAAATGCGTGGCAAATCAAAGTTATACTTTTTCTCATGGGTCACCCTGTATCTCATTGCATTTTCGCATTCTCCTTTATAAGCTGATTTCATCAATGCATCACACTTGTGGTCTAGCGAGAATGACTACAGAGATATAGGGTATTCAAAATCGAGATTTTTCAACTTTAGGATTTTTTTGCGTCGAAACTATTCATTATTGGTCAAAACGGCTTCCATGTCCCTATCCCAACTTTTGATTTACCATCTACTGACATTTAATTGGAACAAATACAGGGTGGTTCGAGATTCATCATTCTGATCACCCTTGTATCTATTCCAATTAAATGTCAGTAGATAGTAAATCAAAAGTTGGGAAAAGGACATGGAAGCCGTTTTGACCAATAATGAATAGTTTCGACGCAAAAAAATCCTAAAGTTGAAATATCTCGATTTTGAACACCCTATATCTCTTTAATCACTATCGCTAGAATTCAAGTGTGATGAATTGATAAAATCAGCTCACAAAGGAGAATGCTTGATACGCCAGGCATCTCTGAGTCACCCTGTATAAAGCGAAATAATTTGGAAATGTGCTTCTCATGATCCTACATCATCTCTGGAATTTTTGTTCATCTATCTCAAACAGTAAAGCCGTTATCTCACTTTGCCGCACTAATGACTCACCCTGTATAGTACAAGAAAGTCAACTGGAAAAAGAGATCATTTGAAACTGCAAATATCGTAGTGGTCATTTATATTTATATCATGAAATGTTTTCCCAAAGTTGTAGGACATCTTGCGGGTGGCTGACGTTAGTCATGCAGCTTATATTTATTTTCACCAACCTCGTTCTGTTGATCTTTTTCAGGAGGCAGTTATCGACTTCGAGATTGTTATTGAAGAAGGTGACAATAATTTGCTATCACCAACAAGCACTACTCCTTTACAAAGAAGATCATCATCTATGTCAGTTCTATCCGATATCAAAAGTAAGTACTAATCCGTGATAATTAATATGATTAAGGTAAGGAAAAACTGATACAGATAATATATAGACATAGCTACATACCTGAATAGATCAGTGACTATATGGGGGTGTCAAAAATAATGCAATTTACCAATGATGGAGTGTATTAAGAGATATGAACCGGTAACAAAAAAATAACATTTTTCTGCAATTGGCTCAAAAGTCCTCCATTTTTGTTCCAAAATTAGCTCTTGAAGTTGACGGACTTGATTGATGGATAAAATGAACGTCAAGATAACAACGATGAATTAGTGGGATAATCAGCATTGAGGCTAGATAATAATAGGGAATGTCAGGGTGAACAGTATGAATATTGATAGAAGAATAGGAACATCAATATCATATATTTCGATACGATTCTAAATAATCTCAGAAAATTCAAGAAGTCTCAGAATATTCGAAAAGAATATTCTGAGAATATGTCGAATTGAATGTTCATTGAATATTCGTTGCAGAATGAGAATATCGTATGATCATTTAGAGAACATTCTATGGGAATATTCTGAAATAAGTATATTTGAATGTTGTCAGAATATTCATAGAATACTCTATGCTGTGTGGAGTGTTGTGTACGTTGAAATCGCCCATGATGATGATAATTTCTGCAGCTGGATGGTTCTGCTGAATTAAGTCAAACTTCAGGGACAAGAACTTGAAGAGATCTTCGTAGGATGGATCATTCAGTGATGAATATTTAGAGACTACAAAGATATTTGGTATGCATCTGGCTATCGAGTTTGCAACTAAATAATATCAAACTCACTTGGTTCCGAAGTTTTTCTCGATGACATGAGAGATTCGTTTTGGAACAGAGGCAGAGACATCCATTGAACCTGAAGCGTGTGTGGAATTCGTACCCAGGGCAGAGCATATCGGTCGTATATTATAGATGCATTATGGACCTGTGTCTCAATCAGTGCGAATATGTCTGGATTTTCAGTTTGAAGATGTCGATGGACATCTTTGATGTTCTTACTTAGACCACGAATGTTAGATAGGTCTATCTTGAGGCTTTCATTAGCCGATGGTGAACCTCCTCTAAGAAGAGGTATCTTACATCCGGATAATTTTACTTGAGAAAAACTCATCATCGCTTTTTTCTGTATTGAAGAGGAATGAGGTTGGCGTCCATATAGGTCGGTGTGATATGTATATTGCACACATAAAATCATTTCTGTGACATTTCATCTCTGCTGACAGGTACCGGAATGTCATGCTTCGCCCTATAGTTCCCTCGTATAATAAAGATCTAATACACTATTAGAGCTATATTCAAGAAATTGGAAATATCACGAACAGTACCACCACCATACACTTACATTATAAAACGTTAGAAAACACCTGTTACCGTCGTGATCAGGTAGAGACTGACTAATAATCCTTATCACATCTATTTTCCCTCGCATTTCGGCAGGCCTCTTTCACGAAATTGCCCGTGGAATTCGAATATCGGAAAAAAATTTTTCAGAAATATCAAAGTATAGTGCTTCTGGTCAGACCGGAAGTGAAATAATTCATGTGTTTGAGTATGAAAATCTTCTTCTAAAACAACAAAAGAACTTCACATTATCTTCAATTGATGCATTATGCTAACTACCAGATTTAGTCCAGTCTTCAAACTTACAAAACCAACTTCTGGCTCATGGTTTCTATGGCAATGAACATATTCTTTGAGTTAATTGAGTGAGTAAGACTATTTATCGTTTTTTCAGCTTCTTCGGTGGACGTTGTCGAGAAAACAGCCAACTTTGTCATACAAATGCAGAAAGAATCTTCTGGACTTGGATTCAGTATTGAGGGTGGCAAAGATTCGCCTCAAGGAGATGTGCCATTAGTTGTTCGCAAAATATTCACTGGTAAGCCACTCAACACCTACTATCTACTGTCCTAGGATCAGAAAATTTTTCAATTGCACGTTGAAACCAACTCCACCCTGGTAGGCTGTGGCAAACCTTGGGGGCGGGGGCAATTTGCCCCTATCTCCAACATGCAAAATATACGAGCAAGCTAACGTGGAAGTAGCATCTCGCATGCGTTACGTACGAGTCACTTGTGTATGATTCAAACGTCACGCAGCTTCAAGAACGTAAAATAATGCGTGAAAAAGCGTGACGCACGAGTGACGTTCCTTTCACTTTTCTTGGAGAATGCGTAATGATTCAATCAGTTTTCCTCACGATTTCACGCTTCCGAATATTTAGCATGAGGAAGGTAAGGGCAGATAGCGCCAGAATGTAACAAGTGTGCACTCTACCAGCCCCCCCCCCCCCCCTTTATATTTCGACCGATTTCGGAACTGAATTTTGTTTATCAGGTGGGCCGGCTGATAAATGCGGTGAGCTGAAAGTTGGAGATGAAATCATTAAAATAAATGAAGTGAAGCTGGCTAACTTATCCAGAATCGAAGCTTGGAATTTGATGAAGAGGATCCCTGATGGGCAAGTTCGTGTCCATATTTATAGATAACTTTTATATATACCAATTACATTATACAATATTGTCCTATATGTTCTGTTATTGTTTTTGATCTTGCCAAATTACCCATGAATCATGGAATATGGAGTGTACGTGATTTGATTAAAATTATTATCATTAATTTATGCAAATTTCGTTAGATTTTTATATATATTTTATATGAAAGCTTTGTGTAATAATTATTTATGTGTATTTATACCTACTGTAAATATAAATGTTTCCCAATATATTTTCAAATTAAAAAAATTTTGATTATTTTTCAGCTCCAAGAAGGTGTGGTGCTGGGTAGTAAGTTTCCAGTAGGTACTGATCTGACTAGATATGAATTTCATTTGAGTAGAGTCATTCTCACTTACATAATTACTTCCATAACTATAGTGACTCGAAGCTATTTGAAACTTCATAAACACCAAACGCCATACAGTGTGACCACTTAATACGAGAGCACCCTTTAATAAAAACCACATCATGTTTTATAGCCGATTTGAACAATTTGGGCACGCTATGATTTCTTCACATTTCGAAAACAGCTATGGATCGAATTAGCGCCTTTTCTGTAGAATTTTCACTATACGGCACCGGATTCAGAAAGATTGAGAAGCTTTTTTTATGTTCTGGTTCCCACGAAAAGGGGGTATCCTGTAATGTTCAGAGAACATCGTGAGAACCAAGGGAAATAAGGTAGGAATTGGTGTTCTGCTTGAATTTCTGGAGGTTATATGCCTCGGGGAACACCTCTTTTGGCAATGTGTTCCAGAGCCTCGCTGTTCGTTGGATGAACGAGTCTTTGGAAAGAGATGTTCTGCAGGTCTCCAAAGTGACCACAAAGGAGTACGAAGCCTCAACTCGACGGGGACTGCCACGGGAGGAACAATTGTTAATATTTCAATAGACCTGATGCGTTACCGCATGTCACAGCTCGGTTTACCACCTATCAGCTATTCCTTCTTTTATCTAGTTTTCTTTCAGGCCGATCTGTTCATGGGGTGATGGGCGGAGTAACATCTCATACCATATTGCCATCATAGCCATCAGTTCCGGCGTTCCACATAAAGATCGATTTTGGCACCAACATATTTCATAACTTCATATCAATGATCTGACTGTATGTAACCACTTTCCCTATCCACAGCTTTGCAGATGTCAGAGTACTCTTTATATATACTCTGCGTTCTCTTCCAGAATTCCCATTGCTTCCGAGGAAACTAAGAACTCAAGAAGGCAAGTCAATGCTGTCAATGAAGTTCTTGCTGAAATTACAGTTGGGGAACCAACAAACTCTAGTTGAATTCAGCGTACCATAACTCATTGCTCGGTATTTCAGTCGCAGTAATACTCTCTCATAGGAAAGTTATGTCAGATCCATAGCTAAATCTGCTTCACAAAACTTGGATATCCATTCCTAGCGAAAAACTACTTTGAACTTCAACAATTTAACAACTTCCACATAATAGGTGGATATTCAAACATACGCTGATGATCTCAGATTTCATCCGTAGACAAGTCATTCAAGTGGTTGGTGATATCACACTCATCAATTCCTTGGCATTATCGTAACACTGCATGGGTACCTATTATCTACGGAATTGGCTAGAATGCTGCGTACTGCTGGCTTTTTCCAGTTAACAGATTATTGTCTTCATTTGCATATCTGGACACATATATCTCATCAAACTTCTCGAAAAAAAAATGTTTCAAATTTTTTGCTAGCTATGAACGATTCGATGGCTTGTTGGTGTGTACATATACCTACACACAACGAAGTACATCTTTTATTTATGTGAACTCGATAGAAACTTTTTAGGTTTTATATATAGCCCCTCCTTGAGTGGCACTCTATTCGTTTGTTCCACTAATGAAATATCAGTCAATTTCATAGAATCGATCAAATACCAGCTACCTGCTACATAGGTAAAGTAGGAATTGTTTTCCACACGAGCTACATATAATAAGTGGGTATACCTTACGGAGAGACGGAGAAAATAAGAAGAAATCATTCAATATGGATGTCTCAATGAAAAACTAGAATATTTCACACATGTTGGAGTCGTGAAAAATGCTCACAAAGAATTGACGGTTTTTCTTCATATCTCTCCAAAACTAGTCGCTTGATTTCAACAAACGAAATGCAATTAACAGTTTAGACACGAGCGTATACGTTTCCAATAACCCACGACCCACGATCCCAACAAACCTGGGGGTGGGCATTGGGTGCAAGGTTGAAGCAACGAGCTAACTAATTTATATAAATTATTTACCTAACAGTCACTGTTCACGAGTCTTGGAGATTTTCTGAACAACCTTTTGAGGCACGACATTTTCAAAGGTGAGCAAGGTGATTTTTTTCTGAAAACATGTCCCCCTCATAGTGATATTGTTTACCTGTCTCGGCGATTTCCGAGAGCCGTCTACTCCCGGTATATCATCATTTGATTGGCAGATGCGTGATATATCTGGAGATTTTTCATGACCTCAAAAATACTTATATGAATATCAATATGGATTTCAAGACAAAAGATGCTCGTGTTTCAATTTTGTATCACATGGGCAACAAATAGATGGGGCGTTCCATTTGAAAAACTCGAGAAAAATCAATTGAAAAAGTTACAAATCATGTAAAGCCACGGTACCCTCTGATTTATAATTTGAGGGCATGAAAATTCTTCATAAATATAACGTATTTATCCATCAAAGGATGATATGTTAAATTTCCTCTTAAATTTCATTATTTCGACAAAAAAAAAACTTTGATATGATAATCGAGTGAAAGTCAATAATGATATTATAGGGTTGGATGGATCGAGGTAACAGGGATCTTCAAAAATTGTGCTAATATACATCATATGGCCAGAGATAAGCATTCCATTCAAAAAAAGCGCGGCAAAAATTGTTAGTTATGAACCTTGTTGTTTAATCCACACATTCGCGTATATAATCAAGGCTATATCGTTAAACTCGAGCAATCGAACTCCGCCGCAGTATTGCCCCACCCTGTATGATTCCCAATAACATAATAACGCTCGAGACACGAGAGTCTCGAACCAGGAAGGAGTCATAGTTGTCGGCTTCATTCTGTTCTGACTTTACCTGACCATCAGTGAACATTGAATGTTGCCGATAGTGATATTCATTGATTCATTGATATTTGTTAGACAATAAATTATATATAACCCTGTAAAGATTTTCCGAATGATTATCTGTTATCACTTTTTGTTAGGGTATGAATAATTTATTTTTCTATCAAGTTTATAAACCGACAGTTGAGCAATCCTAAACAAATAAAAAATCAAAAATTACTGAATTTGCAGCACTTGTGATTGGAAAGGAAAGTTTTCAATTGTATTATATATTGCCTTGGATTGAAGTATAACATATTTTTTAGATATTTGAATGATAACCTGACCCATCCTGATTCAACTACGAAAAAGCCAAAATGCTGCCATCTTGATTGAGAAATAGTACATTGACTGCGATTCTCGCCATTTCTTCAAAATTCGAGATATTGGAAATGATGTTGATGAATAGGGTTAAAATCTACGGCAATCATTTGGGTAAATCTCATTTTATAAAATGTGCTGACAATTAATATTGCTGCGTTTTATTTGTTCCATTTGGGTAGCGGTGGTGGGAACAGAATTACGTTTACAAATAAAACGAGAAACGTCATGACGTTGCAATTTGCATTAAGAATTGACCTATTATAGATATTATAGATGATAGAGGTATTAGAGGTTATATTTAGGTAACCGGCATCGGAAAAGATGAAAATAAAACGACACATTGAAGTGATTCGGGTGGGGGAATCGGATGAATGAAACGCAGCTCTCTCGACATTTTGACCTTTTTCAGTTCTCAGTCTGAAAGTTGATGTTCGATAGTTCGATGTCAGTTGTTTTCAAAACAGTGCCGGCAGTGGCAGCACAGTATACACCCTAACGTTAACGTATACACCGTTAGGGTGTATACTGTGGTGGCAGTCACCACTGCCACAGAACTAAGGTGGCTATTTAGCCACCTTACACAGAACTCATATTACTTTGAGTAGTTTGAGCTTAGATCATACAGGATCCTGTATGATCTAAGAGTTTGAGTAATATGAGTTCTGTCTGTGCCACTGTCACCAGTCACCAGTCACCACACCACTCACCAGGTTCTTCTGTTGATGTTTGTTTTCTCCTCCTTTATTTTCTGTTTACATCTGTACAAAACCTAATCATGATTGGTATATTTTGTTCCTGAAAATGAATAAAGAAGAAGGTAATGAAATAATTATTATCAAAAAACCTAGTTGTATGAAGTTTTTTCAGATTATTTGATGAAGCTGACCAAAATTGAGTCAACAATAGAAGGTTTACAACAGCAGCAAAAGAAGATTGCAAACAAAATTAAAATCCTCTTGTCAGAAAAAGAAGAATTACAGCACCAACATCACTTGTTCAAAATCAGAAACAGGCCTGATATAAGTGAATGGGTTGACAAAAAATGTGAATGGTCTGTTCAAGTTCTTGCAATTCTTAATGAAAAATTCAAGTTCAAGAGCTTCAGATCCAAACAACTTGCTGCCATCAATGCTACCTTGTCAAAAAAAGATGTATTACTGCTTATGCCTACAGGAGGTGGCAAAAGTCTTGTTTACCAACTTCCTGCACTAATCACTAAGAGGCTCACACTGGTGGTTTCCCCTTTAATTTCTTTGATTGAAGACCAACTTATGGCTTTAAAAAAACTAGGAATAGAAGCAAATACACTGAATGCCAGTTCTTCAAAGGAGGACAAGAAACATGTACATAGTAGTATGACAGATGGAAATTCCAAACTGAGATTATTGTATGTTACCCCTGAATGGGTGGCAAAAAGTAAAACCTTCATGACATACATGCAAAAATGTTTTGATAAAGGTTACTTAGATAGAATTGTGATAGGTAAGAATTGGCTTCCAATTTATTATTTTTGTTATGCACCATGATTTTCAGATGAAGTGCATTGCTGTTCTACTTGGGGTCATGACTTCCGGAAAGAGTATAACTTTTTAGGGTTTTTCAAATCCATGTTTCCAGGTGTACCAATACTGGGATTGACTGCTACAGCTACAATGAGTATATTAGTAGACATACAGAATATGCTGAGTCTCCAAGATGCCCTTATCATAACAGCCCCTTTCAATAGACCCAATCTCTACTATAAAGTAATAAAACACATGAATAATGCATCTATGTTAAATAAAAATGATTTCAGGTTGTCAGAAAACCCCCAGACAAAACAGATTGTCTTGAAGCAATAGAAAAACTACTCAAGCACAAGTACAAAGATCAATCTGGGATTATATACACATCAACTATCAAAGACTGTGAGGAAATTAGTGATAGCCTGAAAAGCAGAGGTTTAAAAGTGAATTGTTATCATGCTCAACTGAAAGCAGAACATAAAAAAGTTATTCATGAAAGGTGGATGCAGAACAAATACCAAGCTGTCATTGCAACCATAGCTTTTGGAATGGGTATAGGTGAGCATGTCAAATTTTGATTCAGTTTTGGCAAAAACTTTTTATCAATTTTTCATTCAGATAAGCCAGATGTCAGGTTTGTTATTCATCACAGTGTTCCTAAAAGTATGGAAAGTCTATATCAAGAAAGTGGAAGGGCTGGTAGAGATGGAAACAATGCTGATTGTGTCCTGATGTTCAGTCTCTCTGATGTTTTAAGAAATGTCAGTATGGCATCATCAAAAGCTGAAGAGAAATATGCCAAATCAATTCTAGAGTACTGCCTAGATCAAGCTCAGTATGTATCTTTACCGACTTTACAATCTTTTATGATGGTGATCATTGGTGGTATATTCAAAATGGTGGACAAAAAAGTACCTACATGTCAAAATATGATGAATGTTGCTGTTGAAAATCCAATGAAATTTCCAGCCTAACTGAATGTCCACACTGTCTATGACTTTCTTATTCTGATTATGTTAGGTTACTGGCAATTCAATTTATTCCCCTTCAGGGTTTTAGCTGAGCTATAGAGGCCGATAATCAATCACTTATCTTTAATCACCAGTAATCCTGTATGAATTGAAGCTACAAGATAAAATAAGAGGTGCAATAAATTCAATTTCTTTTGAAAACAACTGTCATGCTACTTTAATGGCAACTTTTCTCATCATATTCCAAATTATCCCTACAAGTTATAAGGCAGATGTTCATATTTTTCAATTCAAAAAGATCATTTCAGGATAGGTAAATGTTCATGTTCACACCAAGAATTTTCACCCAATTGGTACAAATAATTTGGTTTATGTTATTTATTCCAGTTATTCATTATATTATTATTTTAGTTGTAGAAGAGCATTGATAGCTGAACATTTTGAAGACACTTGGCGTCAAACTGATTGTGATAAAATGTGTGATCACTGCAAGTATAAAAAAGTAACCTCAAGTTATGATGTTTCGACGGCACTGAAAGATATCCTAGCATTAGTAGAAGCAGCCAGTATGAAAGGGGTCAAACTAACTTTGAACAAACTCATAACTGCTTGGTTTGAAACAGGCACAAAAGATCTAAGGATTTCAACAGTGAAGAAACCAAATTGTACAAAAGAACAGGCAGAACATATTGTAGGATGGTTGATCCTCAAAGAATATTTGAATATTGATAAGGGTTACACAATGTATACTACCATAGCATATATCCAGAGGGGTAGTAATGATATTAGTAATGGAAAAGTTATAATGCCTTTTACCTCTAATATCGGGTATCCCAGAGTTCCAGATGCCATTGACATTGATAGTAGTGATGATCCAGTAGTAGAACCAGTGATGAAGAAAATAAAAAAAAATGTTTCTGTTTAATTTCTTATGTTAGAAAGTTTGTCTCATTCTTGAAACTGTGATTTTTATTTCTTATAATACAGCATTTTCATTTTCTATGGAAAATGTTTCATTTCCATCAATTTTGTTTCAGGTAGACAGTGTAGGTATAATACATTCTTATTTCCAACAATACCTATACTGGGAGTCAATGAATCTATTAGACAAGCCATAACTTCTAGAATATCCATTGTATCAAAATTAAATTCAATATGGGTATATGGTATGTGAAGAGGAGTTCTCACATATATTTCACTTCCCGGTTTCAGCATAAATGGCTCCGGTTTCGAATTTTTAAATGGATCACTCTCAGCTTGGAATATACATTAGTTTGAACCCCCTGATTGGGTATGAAAGTGTTGAAAAGGAATATTATCAGATAAATTATGGACATACAAAAATGGATATATATTTATATGAAGCACAATACATTGAGAATTTGCATTCTCTATGTGAACAATGGAAACTTGTGATTTTTATAGACCTCTAATCGCAGATTCGTGATAAAGTCTCAATTCAGAATTTCTTTCCACGCCCTGTATGATGAATGTCAATTTATTATACATCCAAAAGCAAAAACGTCCAAATGACAGGAATAGAATGTCAACAAATTTTCTCAGATGTCATTTTGTTATAGTTTTACTGGGTTTTAGTTGTATCTGAAATGATTAAGGCATCTTAGTTGTATCTGAGTTGTATCATAGATTAACAACTCCCCTAATCTATGGTTGTATTATAGAGAGATGAAAATTGTGTATATCATGAAGAATGGCTGTAAGAATAAGTGGACATCATGGTTACTGATGAGGATTCAGAAATCCGAAATGGTTTCATTGCAATAAAGTCATATAACCTGTGTGTGAGAGATAATATTTCCCATATCACTGATATGAATGATTATTTTTTTGGAAGTTTTCAAGCTCATCAAGATCAGAGTTTATGCCAGTATACTTCTCCTATACATTCCAATTTTCATTTCAATGCTGAATATATTGGTAAGTTATATTTCTATATCATTATTCATCCGATTTGAAGAAGAATGTCAATTCTCAATTTCGGAGGATTTTATTTTTTATTTTTCATGTTTTCCTTTTGAATGTTCATCAATGTTCGACGTGGCAAATAGCCAGGAAAGTAGTTGTTTTCTGTTGAATATTCAGAATGATGTGTGCATATACATATTTTTGTCTGAAGGAGAATGCAAATTCTCAATTTCAGAAGTTTTTTACATTTTATTTTCGAACTCTTATAATGTATGTTCAATAGATATAATTCAATGTTCGTCGTGGCATATAGCCAGGAAAGTAGTTGTTTTCTATTGAATAAACTGAAATAGAGAGAGTAGATATTCTCAGTACATAGAGAATGCGAATTCTCAATGTATTGCTTCATATAAATATATATCCATTTTTGTATGTCCATAATTTATCTGAGAATATTCCTTTTCAATACCATCATTTAGTTCTCGTCTGTGCTCGCAGAGCACTTCGGAATATAACAAATTCTTAGTGTCTTAAAATCAATTCACAGCAAGTCTCATACTGTGAAAATGTCTTTTCTGTTCCCGAATATTCAAAAGGAGAGCATATTGCCCACTGCCTAGTTATGTTAATCAGGAAAATATACATGATGGCATAATAACTTAATTTTATTTCATATAAAATAATAGAGAAATGTACATTATGTCACAGAGTACAAAATATAATTAAAAATATAAATAGTATAGTACTTAATGAATAGATACAATTATCAATAACATTTTCAACATGTATACCGATTTGTAGGTTAAAAGGAACTCATAATCAGGCTGCGATGTATTTAATGACTGGCATAACATGATATCCAATATAATTTCTTCATCCAACTAATAACTCTTGTCTTTGATGGACACTACATGTATCAGTACAGTAATTATAGTAAGGCATTTATAGTTCCACTGTTCAACATACATAAAATATCATTATTAGACAAGTATATCTATAAGAGTATCCTTATGCGAAATTGGAAAGGACTAGTCTTTCATGGTTATGCGAGAATGTTTCACTTATTCTAATCTCTTAAATTTATTATCGAGCATGTTTTTCTTTTCATGAATCATTTTTATGAGTGGGTTTCCGACAAATGCAGTAGTAAATAAATATCACTATCTTTGGTAATTTCAACTTATAACTACTTTACATAAGGTCATGCTGTTTGAATATGTTGCTTCTGAACAAAAAAAAATCAGATCTCTTGCAGGAATACTTAGTGCACCTAAAAATTTGAAGTGACCTTGAAACTTGAGAATTAATTTAAAATATAATGTATTTTTCTTCCACCTATAAATAATGTGGATTCAAATAAAGTAGATCAATGTAATAGCAAATCTTCTGGTACAAATGGTGAGCCAGTTTTATTTCAGCATACTTTAACTAAATATATTAGATCTGAATAAAATTATTGTTTGTTGTAGAGATACTATAGAATATAGATTAACGATTAGAAATTAAATAAAATGAAATATGTATATCTCCTTATTATGAAATGTCATTAGTTCAATAAATTTCGTTATGGTTTAGTGGTGTGATCGTCAACATCTAGGTTGAAATCTCAAATATAAATAAAAATTTTATTGAGGTCATCCTAACTCAGCTAGACTTGTCAAAATTTCTCCGCATTATGCAAATTTCAACATAAATTTATTCCTGATCAAAGTAATGAGTAATTATGTAGACCAAAATAAGGGAAGTCGCAAAATGTAAATAAATCCCCACAGGCATTCAATATATATAAATAACTTGATGTGAGATATCTCATCATTTTGTCTTATCATTTTGGATTTCTTCAACTAGGCGATGCCCTTATTTTGACACTCCTCTTTGGTCTGCAGATCTATAGAAAGCGAATACAAATTGTGTAGGGTTCAGTTTTATTGAATACTACTAAAAACTGATAACTAGATCAAAAGATGAAGACATAAATTTCAAAATGTTCTTCCAAATATATTTTCATTTTATTTCGAATATATATGGGCATGAAATATCAGACATTGAGAATGATCTAATAAATATGTATCATTTTGCAACTAATTTGTTGGTGTTAGAAGGGTAGTAGAAGCTGTGGCTGAAGATGAGTTTGATATCTGTTATTGTCACAATTCATCAGCCTTCGAGCATATTATAATTTTTTCTCTCTAGTTAAATGATTTGTATCGATCTATTTTTTTTTATTGTAGCATATTATAATTTAGGTATATTATTGTATTTGTATGCTTTGAGAGTGGGATTTTTTAAAAACTGAATAAGTAGATGAAATAATGAAAAAATGATGAATCACACTAAACTATCATACAACTAACCAGACCTAATTCTTAAACGCCTCGAGACTTGTTTTGCTATGTTAGCATCTTCGGGAGATTGAAATTTTAATCTTCTCCTGACGAAGATGCAGACATAATTAGCAAAACAGTTACATTTTTTCCTGAAGACGATAACATAAACATAGTTATAGCTATAGCATTGACTTTCAATAAACCGGTTTGGTTTGTGATAAAATCATGCCAAAGGTATCATAGTCTTCGATATAAGAATCAAAATATACCGAGCGTTCCTTTTGAAAAACATGACTTCCATACTTCTACACCATATGTAGGTGCCCATGGAAGAAACTATTTTCTAGTAGTATTCAATGAGAATATAAAATGAAATCCTAGAATTTTTGTATTAAATTTTTTCATAGCCAACAGAACAAAATAGTCAAGGAGAATCAGAATATGGTCAATCACAAACTCGTCCAAAATAAAATATGCATAGAAGAATTAAAAGGTAGGAACAAAGAGGGAGTGAATATATTTCATCATAGGTAGATGAGACTTGTTCATGGCATTCATTACGGCATGGAAAAATATGCATTATGTATATGTCGCAGTCTTGAAATGAAAATCCGTCATTCACATGAAAAGCCAGGCATTTCGTTCAACATATTATTCCTCAGTATATTAACAAGTTCTGTGGTGTGCTAGGTGAAAAAAAGAGTTGACATCATATTCAATAATGAAATATTATTATTCCTCAACATGTAGTATTCGGTTAGTAAAGAACCCTGCAATATATTGATGTTGACGTGAAATGCCGGATTTTACTATGACACATTATATCTTTATATTCTACTTTTCACATGAGCAGTTGGTCAAATAAGGGCAGATGCTGTACAAATCGCATTAAAAAACTCTCACTTTAAATCTTTTGACAGTCTCAAACCAAACTTTTTTTATGAATTCTTCATATAATAAGCAAAAAAAAATATCTCACCTCGAAGTTTTGGAAAGTCCCAAGCCAAAATGTTTCAAGCTTCACACTTCAAATTTCGCCGGACACACAAAAATATGAAGGGTGGCCCATAAATACCTGACAGTACTTCGGTAACTGATATGATGTACCAATACAAACATACATAATCCTGCTTCAACATTTTTTATGACAAAAGAAATTTCAAATCGACACAGGCCGAGTTCTCTTCTCCCGAAACGGGACGGAGGTCAGATCTGTTTCGTTGACAAATAGGCTGTTGATTGTTCGCTGTTTCTGCATAAAATTTATATTTTACACTATACAGGGTATGTCACGACGAGTTTACACTATCTCTATATCAAGAATCAGTCGGGAGAAATCCATGAAATTATGCATGCTTATATTTTAGAATACGCTCTCTTCATTTAAAATATTTTCAGCAATGCAGTGTTGCCGCTTTTACCAAAAAGTAGTAACAACTTTGTTATTTCAAATAGAATACCCTGTATTTTATTGCATTTTTAGATTCTCCCTGAAGAGCTGATTTCATCGATACATCACACTTGGGGTCTATTTTTTTTTTAATCGCTTGGAGCGCACGAAAGGAAATCCCTATAATGTTCATTATCGGCCAAAACGGCTCACATGTCCCCATATGAACTTTTGATTTATTATTTACTGATATTTAATCGGAACTGATACAGGGTGATCAGAATTCAGAATCTTGAACCACCCTGTATCTGTCATAAATAAATAAATCATAAATAAGTCATAAATAATTGCAAGAATACTGTATAATGAGGAAATCAGTGATTTCCTTAATCACTTATTGAATTCTAAAGACAGTATTTTCGTGAAATTTTGAAAAACGAACGTTTCCGAATTTTTTTATTCAGTTTGATTATTTGGTACACCTACATAGTGAAGAATATACCTGATTGCTTGTTTTTCAAAACTTTATGAGGAAATTTTCTTCCTCAGAATTCATCTAGTGATTACTTAGCATGGTAATTGTTTTTAGGAAATAAATATACATCGGCGTCTATGGATTCCTCTAATTATTCTCAACACTGTAGACACTGATGTAGATTGATTCAAGAAAAAAATCTGTTTGAATTTGAGGAAGATTACTATTTACCGCCCCGTATTTTGTGAATCTTTGAAAGATTGCTAACTCGGCATATGCATATTAGTATTCATTCATTTGTCACAAAGAATCATAAATAGAAACTAAAGTGAGAGAAAAACTGTATTCGCATTCTTCATTTGTACTGGCACAACACACCACCCCCTGTAGGTCAATCATTTTACAGTTTAAAATCAAAAATGGGGGAAAAATAGCAAAACGTTTCAAAGTTTCAGAAGAGTTATATTTAACTATAATATGATAAAACCATAAAAAATTGCCCTGTCCGGCAACATTGTTAAAAATGTCAATTATCAACAATTGAGGTTAAAAATTGAAGAGTCGGAAAATGGTCAAAACAAAGGAAATATCAGAATAAATAAATTATTTATTCATACTTTTGTTGTTGACTTTTCCGGAAAAATCTAAGAGTGACAAACTCGAAGAATTTCTCTGAAAATTCGCCACCTCAGCCGATGACGGCAACATTGTTATTTTACTCTTTAATAAACAGTTGTTCCAGGGGCCAAATTTTTATAGTCTAACATGCATTTTTTCTCCATTTTTGCTAAAACAATTGGCCTTCTGAGTCAACGATACGCGAGCCCCCCTATGAAAACGAAGAAGTCTAGTGATATGTAGAGTGACTTTATAGATAGAGTGACGACAATAGACATCCAAATGGCTGCCGGAATGTCAAGTCACTAAATAGCTGAGAATCTGAAGGGTATCTCCCATGCATTAATGAATTTGCGCCTTCGAAGTGCCCACCTGATGTTAGGTTTAGATCTTCGATATTTTTCATTTCATCATCTGAATAATCTGAGACTTACGAGTCTCAGAAGACGGATTCCAAAGGTACTGACGTATAGAGACTCATATCTGATTCTTGGATGTTGTGTCCGAAGAGTGAAAAACAAAGACAAAGCATTGACAAAGTGAAATAGAATTCCTGAGGCGCGTTTCAAAATTGTACCCGACCTACAATCGTTTAGTAGAGGTCGTTCCAATTTACAGTTGGAGTTACTCGACAGATGCCAAATATCGTTTCAATTTTCATAGGAAGAACATCCGACTTCCAACTAGTCATCCTGCTCCGAGAGGTAGGTAAATTTTACCCAATCTACGTTTGGCAAGCCGGACGAGCGTTTTGGTTTTGTAAGCTTTGCGGATTGAGGTTAGGGTTTAGGATTTCATCACAAAAAACAGTGAGTGAACACAGTAAAGAATTGTGAAGTTCTCCATTTCGATTTTGGAATAATTATAAATAAATAAATAATCAATGGAATATAATGAAGAAGTTTTCCTTTTCATAATTGAAAATGTAATACGCTGATCAATTCACATTAATATTGTACCTAGCTGTAACCAAATAACGGATAATACTTGTTTCTCAGCATTAATTTATTATCTTCCTCTTTTGCATTGTTTTTCACCCAGTTTGGATCCTACCACTTCCATTGGTCGATCGAAGAAAGTTCTAGTCTTAGAAAAATGTGACTGAAATTGGTTTCCTGGAATTATGTTTTCGAAACAATTTGAAATTTTTGAAAAATCCTATTGGCACTCTTTTGTATACAGTCATCGTGAAAAAATTAATGAGAGAGGAAACTGATGCAGGACTCAAATATGACTATCTCCATTATTGCTTCATTTCAATGAAAAATAAAATATATCAAAACTTCAAAACTTCTGCTCCAAAGAAATATAGGTTAGACATAATAATCTCTCCTCTTGCATACACGTTTCAAAATTGATATCAACGGACGTGATCCTGCTGAATACTCCTGACGTCATCTTTAAACCCTTTGTCGGACGTTGGACACATTTTTTAAACGCAACTCTGGAATCGAATGGAGAAAACAAGACAGGTGGATGTACCTGCATATTGAAGGTCTGGCCAATCAAAACGTATACAACTATTGTCGTCACTCTATAAAGTCACTCTAGTGATATGTCGCTAGCACTGCGTCGTCGCAGCTCCGTTGGTGGCGCACCCACCTACGTACCCGTTGGCCGTCGCCACGACGCCGACGCCATTCTCCGAGATGCAGGGGAACCGGTGGTGTGTGTCGATGTCCAGTTCGTCGGAGTCCCGCGATCGCGATGGAGTGTACCTATGGAATCATACAGACGGGAGTAAATGAGCTATGCCGACACGGGACCGTTTCGACCACTTTTCCCATGTTAATCTCCATAAGAAAAGTTGAGCTCAAAAATAGCGAAAATGGTCCCCTTCAAGGTCATCCATCTCTGACAAGTGAGAAAGGCGATTCTGGTGCTGCAGACCTCGTTGAAAGCAAACGCTCTCAAATCGGATTGCTTGAAGGGCCCTAAGGGAAATGTATCTGCTTGATTTTCAAGAAAATCAATTTTTGAAGGGTATCAAGGGCCATATAGTGAATATTATGCCAACTATAGGTTGTTGTATATCAAATGAAAGGCCTCTGCTTGAATTTTACGAAAATTAATTCTGAGAGACCTTTCATTTGATAACAACAACCTATAGTTGGCATATTTACTATATGGCCCTTGATGCCCTTCAAAAATTGATTTTCTTAAAAATCAAGCAGATACATTTCCCTTAGGGCCCTTCAAGCAATCCGATTTGAGAGCGTTTGCTTTCAACGAGGTCTGCAGCACCAGAATCGCCGTTCTCACTTGTCAGAGATGGATGACCTTGAAGGGGACCATTTTCGCAATTTTCGAGCTTAACTTTTCTTATGGAGATTAACATGGGAAAAGTGGTCGAAATGGTCCCGTGTCGGCATAGCTCATTTACTGACAGAATAAATCCAGTTACAGATTACAAATAATAGCAATTTCTGCAAAATTTTGAGAGATAGCCATATTTCTAACATGTTACAATTATAATCACTATAGCGTGAGACTTAGCAAAAGTAAATAAATCTTCTAGTATCTTTCAAGTGAATAGGATACATTTTAAATAATTTCAAGTCAAAAGAAGATGAGTAAAAATGAGTGATGTCTTATATGTTTCAATGAGATATTAACATAGTAGTTGAACAAACAGAAAAAAAAAACTTATTACATATATATCCTTTAGAATTTTTCATACAAAGAAAAATAAAGAGAATACAAACAGAGATAACGAAAAATATAGAATGAAGAAAATTTAGGAGATAATTAAGATTATCTCCAAAATTTTCTTTTTTCTAAATACGTTTAGTATGCATTATTGGTAATAATGATAAATGAAAGCACTCAATCATGGAACTAAAACTGACACTTTTCGCTTAAAACTAGAGAATGTTTCGAAAAAAATGTTGTATAGGTAAATAATTCGTTTGCTACAGGAATCTTTCCTACTAGCTTAAAGTCTGCAATTGTGTTACCCCTGCATAAAGGAGGTGCTATTGACGATCCTAACAACTTCAGACCAATTTCCATGCTCTCAACTCTTTCCAAAATTATTGAAAAATTGGTGAAACGGAGAATGCTTGGCTTCCTAGAGCAACATAATATACTAGCGCAGGAACAGTTTGGTTTTCAAAATAAAAAAAACACCAATGATGCTATTTTCAATTTTCTCGAGAGAGTATACTTGAGCTTGAATGAAAAAGAGGCGGCTGCAGCAGTGTTTCTTGACCTTTCTAAGGCATTTGACTGTGTGAGTCATGAGATTCTGTTGCAGAAGCTTTTTCATTACGGTATTCGTGGTACAGCTCTAAACTGGTTCAGATCTTATCTCACTGATAGGAATCAAAGAGTATCATTGTTAAAAAAGACTTCGGATAAAGGTAATATTATACGGGGGGTCCCTCAGGGGTCAGTTCTTGGTCCGATTCTCTTCTTGATTTATATCAACGATATGGTCAGTCTAGATATTTCTGGACACCTAACTTTATTTGCAGATGATACCACGATTCTCTGGCATAACGAAGATCGAGCTAGTCTGGCTCAGTCAATTTCAGTGGACGTTGAAAAAATTAAAATTTGGTGTGAAGCTAATATGCTAACTCTGAATGTTTCTAAAACAAACTTAGTGACATTCAAGTCAGAAATTGAACAAATTGCTCTAGGAGATCAACTCATTGAGAGCAAGTCTGTCACGAAATTTCTTGGTGTTCACATAGATAACAATTTGAAGTTTGACCATCATATATCAGCTCTTAAGAAAAAAATATCAGCTGGCTGCTTCGCAGTCAATGTGATATCCCGTGAACTTGGATTGCAAGCTTCAATATCAGCATACTACTCACTTATTGAATCGCATCTACGGTATGGAATTTCATTCTGGGGGTGTAGCTGTCATGGTCTCTTAAATAGTGTTTTCGTCCTTCAAAAACGAGCTCTGAGATTTGTATTCAAACTCAAGCCGCGTGACTCATGCAGGCCAATGTTTCACAAATATAAGATATTGACGGTCTTTGAAATTTTCGTTTTAGAAACAGTCTGTTTGCTTCACAAATATAGAAGAAATTTCATGAACACAAACATAGACAAGATTACGCGTAATAAAAGGAACCTTGCTCTTCCTCTGCCTAGTTCATCTTTAACGAGACAATCCTTAATTTATAGGAGTAAAAAGATTTACAATCATTTACCAGAATGTACAGCTATGATCAATGATTTGAAACAATTCCGTAGATCTGTCAAAGATATGTTAGTGGGAAAAGGCTTGTACAGTTTGGATGAATACTTTGCCTACAAATTCTAGTCTTTCTATGATATGTGAGAATAATTAGAGATTCATATCATTGATTTTAAAGATAATTGTTGTTTGTGATAATAATGAAACTTGTCTATGTTATTTTATTTTATATATTTTTGTTCTGTATTATTTTTATATATTCCTGTTCTGTTGTATTTATTTATAATCTTGCAATCGATATATCGCAAGATACTGACTTTGTCGACAAAATGTGCTCATTTTAGACAATAAAGCTTATCTATCATTCGCTATGAGACACAATCTGTACAGGGGAGCTCTTAGGCCAAGATTAGAACGGAGTTGTTAATTGGAATAATTCATTCATATTTCTCCTATTGAATTGAGAACATAAAAATAAATCATACTTACTAGTTGCGTGCAACTGATTAGATTGTTGACCAATTTATATGGAAATAATAGACTTGCTATTTTCCTTCTACTTTCAAGTTTTTTGAATTTGAATTCAGTGAGCAAAGTGTCATATGGAATACCAAATTAGTAGATACCGTGCTTTTTGAAATAGATATAGGAGAATTTTTTTTGCACTTTTTCGATACTGTTTTTATGTTATGAATACGAGGATGACCAGATGATTGAAGCGTATTCCAGAATGCTTCTAACATAAACATTGTCAAGATATATAAGGGTGTTTTCATTCTTGAAATGACACGAGATCCTTATTACAAAGCCCAATGTTCTATACGCTTTGTTAACAAGGGTCTCGATGTTATTGTTGCCACTGAGATTGGTTTAGAATGACATCCCAAGATCTTTCACCTGGTCTTTTGATTGTAGTAATTCATTATTGATATGGTAGTCAAATTCTGTGATAGTATTTTTTCTCGTATATTTTACTACGAAACATTTAGGAACATTGAATGAAAGTTTGTTCTTAACTGACGTTGAAAACGAAACAGGGCCGATTTTCGGCACTCCGGGGTCTGATCCTCGAATCCGTTGGAATTCGTTCCCATGGGAATGACTCGTTATTTCTCATGGAAATTTGAGATGATGTATTCTTGAACCATTGTATGGGAAACTATTCCCACACATTTCAAGAGAACTGAACATGTTTCTCAAGAGATACACTCATGAATTACGAAGTTATTCTCATTTATGATGAAAACTGAACTCTAGTGACCGAGCCACAGTCAACAACGTACCCTTCGAGCCTCTCCGAGGCGTCCGTCAGCGGCGTCGCCGGGTCTTCCCTGTTCGGGGGCGGGCTCTTGCGATGGGCGCGCGCCTCTGCGCCGGCCGCGCTGTGATAGAACGACACCTGCGCGAACGTCGCGCTCGCGTCGTCGAGCAGCAGCTGCGTCAGCTTCAGGAACGTCGGCCGGGCGGACGGCTTGTGCTGCCAGCAAAAGCGCATCAGCGTGTACAGCTTGTCGGGGCAGTTATCGGGGCGTTCCATCACGCCGCCGTCGATGACGTACCTGCGAAGGCGTAAGGGCGTATAAATATTTTCGATGAGATCTCCCATACTTTTCCAGTTTTTGACTAGTAGTTTTATTGGTAATTCAAAATTTTCAAAACTATTTCGTTTTGACAAAAATTGTATGGGGTAAAAAAGGAACTTGGGCGAACGTCGCACTCGTGTCGTCGAGCAGCAGCTGCGTCAGCTTCAGGAACGTCTGCAATGCACCAATATCGCTAGAACATTGAATTTTGACAGTGGGCTATGGATTTTCCATATAAAAAATAGTCCGTCATAAATAATAAAATTGTATCTAATTCAACCCGAGCTATTCCAATCTTTGGCGACCTAGAAGATCTATTGTGATAACTCTCATCTAGGTTTGGTCTTCTGATGAAGATATATATGTTGGCACACCTCAGACCTTTGCTCAGGCACCTTTGGACATGCATAGGTTGATGGCATGTATTTCAGCTTGAAAGATAGTGGGGGAGTCACCAAATGCTTTAAATAGCCTACATCCGGGTCTATACACCTGCGCCTACCCCCAATCAACTGGTTCAAACTTGAACGATGGAGTCTTGTTATTTCTATAGACCTCTAATCGCAAATTCATGATTGGGTTTTCTGACTTCAGAATTTCTTTCCACGTCCTATATGGCGTTTTAACATTTTTCATACCATTTTTTTTTACCTTTGATAGCCCAAAAGCTTAGAGCTATCGCAAATCTTTCGAATATTTCATTTACAAAAATTTAAAGTTCCTGTATTTTTGTAAATTCAATCAGAATTAGACGTGCATTCTAGAAAACTGCTTACCTGAGGACTTGGTCGTTGGAGAGGCCTTGGTAAGGTTGTGAAGCCAGAGTGGCCATTTCCCACAAGACGACACCGTAACTCCACACGTCGCTACTGCTGCTGAACAGTCCATCTTTGAGGCTTTCGGGGGCCATCCACCTGACAGGCAGCAGGCCTGGAATTGACAGAAATTTTCCAAGAGGCAAACGTACAGGGTGATTTTCTAAACACGATGTGGAAAAACTCCGAGGGATTATTTTTCGAATGATTCTAACACGAAAAGTTCATATAAACTTCCGGAAATGCATGGTTTCCAAGATACAGAGGGTGTCAAACCTATATATATATAAATATATATATATATATATATATATATATATATATATATATATGTGTATATTTAGTAGGTTTGTTTCTTTCTTTAGTTTGTAATTTCAACACAATTTGTTTGATGTACCACTTGTATTTTTGGACTTGTCTCTTGTTGTGCAAACGACCTGAAGACCGACACACTAATTATCTATTTGAAAAATTGGTTTTTCGTTAATTTTAATTCGATAATATTGATATTAACCCGTAAACACAAAAGTGAAATATTTTCCTTCAACTACTGCAGCGGAGGAGTCTTACAGACAACGACTATCAAATGGGGTTAATAATTGAGGAATGGAAATTAAAATACTTGCAATCTTAGTTTTGCACTAGTAGTATTGATGTTTTTGGAAAAAATTATCACCAATTTTAACAAAAAAACATCGTAATGGTATAATTGTACCCTTACTTCGACATAGTTTGTGCACAGATTTTTCTGGAACATCCAAGACAAATTGGCTTCCTGCAGTGAGTACGTATTCTGTCATCCTGTGTAACCTGGATGAACAGAGGAGGCAGTACCCACCGTTTATTTTCAAGGCGATTTTCTCATTAGGACGGGAATAGCCAGTTCCACTTAGATCGCTGTCAAATTCATCAAGGCTACCAATTCAAAGTTCTGCAACGTCATTATCAAGGGCTGATTATTTTTCTGCGAGTCTGCAAGTCCTACTTCAACTGCTGATAACAAATTATGCAATTAGGGCATGTGGCTGCCTTTACGTCCACGGCTAGACTGACTCAAGGTCAGGAGGTACTAGAGGCGGTGGAGTGGTGGGGTCAAGGATGGGGGTGGTGTCAAGATTTGTAAGTGTCGCAAAGTCTGAGAGACTCCACCTCAGTGGTTAAGGGTCGAAACTAAATTTTAAAAGTTCAAACACCTCGTATCTTGCAATCTGCATTTCCAGAACCATCTTTGTGAAGTTTTCGTCTCAGTCATTCAGAAAACCACCTCTTGAAGTTTGGCCACATATTTGATCAACATCCTGTATATTTCGAGCCCCTTCATACTTGAACAAATATAGGTTTCAGTTTCACCAGAAGTACAAATCCTCAGTAAAAACCACCCTGTATATAATTCAGAAAAGAAAATTGAAACACGATAATTTTAGAGATGTCTGAAGGGAAGGATCGACCAGTCACCTGCCCCTGTCGTACGCCTCTTGTAGTCAGTGGCGTACCCAGAAGTGTACCTTGGAGGAGATAAAATTTTCATTTCAAAACACATTTATATTATTATTATTATTATTATGATTATTGGTATAACTAAAATAATTTTAAGTATCACAGGATAAAATCTAAGCGCCTTGGATTTGGTTTCCAAACATATTTATTTATTTTGTTTTCAAATTCTTATCGTGTGTGTTCAATAGATGTAATTCAATATTCCTCGTGGCATATAGCCAGGAAAGTAGTTGTTTTCTGTTGAATAAACCGAGAAAGAATTCATATTTTCATCACATGGAGAATGCGAATTCTCAATGTATTTCTTTATATATATATCCATTTTTTGTGTTCATCAATATATCTGAGAATGTTCCTTTTCAATATTCATGTCAAATTTGGATTTCGGCTTTGATAATAATTTTAGGAATATCAGTAGATATACATACAGGTGAGTGAAATTCGAGTAGATGCATGCATGGGGATCTCGGAAACATTAAGAGATACGAGAGGGTTGAATGGAGCCAGAGTTGCGCAATTTTATGACTAACAAAACGTCGTTTTGAAATTTGAAAAATCCCGAATGATTCTGAATATTGAAAAAAATGTATATTCGGGATTTCAATTTTTTTGCTCTAATCGAATAGATATGTAGCGAAACGAATTACACATTCACGTTGCTACTTTTTCTGTTCTACGAGATGGTGATATCAGATTTTCAAACCGACGTTTCGTCTCTGAGCTGCCATCAACTTTGTTTTTGTAAATATGACCCTGGATTTTTTATTGTGGATTTTAATAGCTCTTGATCTCCATAAATCAGTGTATCGCAATTATTCGGAAAAGGTGTTTGTTTTTAGTCCAAGATATTGAAAATCTATTCTGGGTCTTTCTCTAACACATGAAAATGCCATCAATATATGTTAGTCTCACACAACGACCAATGACACGAAACCCCTATGAATATGAAAACGTAATACGTGAATAAAAGTTCTTTCTATCGGCATATGGGGAGAAATATCCCCCTTATCCCCCCGTAGGTACGCCACTGCTAGTAGTAGCAAGAAAAGTTCACTTTACATAATTAAGTAGGGTGTATAGTATCTACACTTCCCACCAAATTTGACGATGACATGTAGTTTCAAAGTACTATATAGGCTTGAATAATTTTCAAATGTTCAAATAAAACACAGACAGGAGAAGGAGACACAGTTTATCTAGGAGAATTAGGTTAAATATTCAGATTTTGAGTTCAGGATTCTATAGGTAGGTGAAATATTTCCAGTTAGTAATGACCCAGCCAACACATCTGTGACGATAACAATGCGATATCACAAACGTTCCATCGCTGCGATGTTCATAAGCAAAATATCTGCGACATGATATGTCTGAGATGTGCGAAATACAGTAGCAGACACATCTGCGACATGACATCTCTGATATCGCGATGGGGCAACACTGCGATATTACGAATGTTTCATCGCTGCGACGTACAGAAGCAAGCACATCTGCGACATAACATCTCTGAGATGTCGCGATGAGGCAACACTGCGATATTACGAATGTTCCATCGCTGCGATGCACAGAAGCACACACATCTGCGACATGACATCTCGAAGATGTCATGATGAGGCAACAATGCGATATCACGAATGATGCATAGCTGCGATGTACAGAAGCAAACTCATATGCGAGAATTTTTCGAAAATTTGCTATTTAGATTCTTTTTCGGTGGAAAAAGATACATGAATATACGGTAATCAACAAAGTGAAGCTAAATTAGCAAATATTCGTTACATTGCTATTAAACTATTCTTGGTTTGCTTACATCTCGCCGACACACACTACATAATTTTTGATACAAATACGAGTAGCAGATCTCATTCTGATAAGAGATTCATAGTTACCAAGCATAGCGCTGCTGAAAAGATGATTGCATGGGCAGGAGACCCGAGGGACCACCAACCAGTCACAACAACACATAATCAATATTAGATATCATCAGAAGTCAGTGGTGTACCTATTATCACACCATGTTTGAAGAAACTTTTTTTTTCGTTTTAAAACATCGCTTTTCATCAAAAATAACATATCGCAATAACATTGCAAAAAATATATTGCTGTTATATCGCACATCCCTCTGACATCGCAGCGACGTCTATGCATAGAAAGCGATATCACAGGTCACAATTGTAAAATCGCTGCGATATCTCTGTGATGTAGCTGTGTTTGCTGGGGAAACACCCTGTATATGCATGTATGAATACCTTTAGTCCCTTTTCTGTAATAATCCGTTTCATAGATGTCACGAGTCATCCCGAAATCTCCGATTTTAACAGTCAGTTCCTCGGAGACCATGCAATTCCTAGCTGCCAGATCCCGATGCACGAACTTCTTAGCTGCCAAGTAGGCCATGCCATCGGCTATTTCTATGGCCATTTGCAGGATTTGCTTGAGGGATGGGGGGTGTTTGATGCGGTTGGGATCGAAATTGTCGATGTCCGGTCTATGGGACCGAAGATACGATTTCAAATCGCCATTCGCCATCAGTTCCATGACAACCAGGGTCGGTTGGCCTTGTGAAACGACTCCCAGTAATCTCACTACATGTGCTGTATCGAAAGCCTTCATTACTGAAGCTTCATTCAGGAATTCCAATCTTTCTCTGCAAAAAGTCAACATACACGGTAAAAATTTCAAAGGGAGCCGAAAAAAGAGATTAGCCAATATTTCAAATTGAGATATGTGTTTCACCAGCTTTCATGGAGCATGAGATATTTTTTGGTGCAAGAATAGGATGAAAATTTCCATAAATTACAGATTATAAAACTTTTGACTCATCCTGTTCACAGGATAATTCATGATCAATTTTCCCATTTTTTTCATCAAATGAACTGTCACTATTCTGATGTTTCTTGATATTGATAGTTTATTCAGGTTTGCGCTCATCCTCGAATTTTTGTCCGTCCTCTATGTCTTATTTTTATGCAAAAACTCCATGAAAATACGCAAAAATCGTATGTTTTCATCTTTTTCATATTTGCTTCTCCAACAAATTTTCAAAAAGTCCCAATTTTGCAGTAAAGTAGACAATAATTCTTTATAAACATGGCTGACATATTTGTGATAAATTATCAGAAAATGATTCTTCCCTTTATAAAAAAAATACCTAGTATTACAAATCGGATTCAATTTTTTCAAAAGCAAACGTGAAAAGCGATTAGATGAACAAGAATCGAAATATTCTTTATCTGGAGATTATAAAAGAATTATTAGTAGATCTTTTGTTCTCTTTGCAGCCAAAGGTGATGGTAGTATGAAATATTAATAATTGAAATTTATTCCAGACAGGTGACCTTAAAATATTACAAGAATTTCTGGTTCTCTCATCTCTGGTGATCGATTTTTTAATATTCTCAGATTCATAGCGTATGGGAAGAAACAGAGGCAGAATCAAAAAGTCCGATTCTAAAAATAGTACAAGGTGAAATACAGCCATTGTTCTACCACAGGAATTTTAACGACCGTATCACGTCTCGCTTTCAACCATCTTTGTTCCAGTATAATCGTGTTCGATGGGATCTCTGGCAAAACTAGTTCTAATATTTTTTTAAAAACTCGAAGAGACTGTACTGTAAAATGTGTTTCCTTGTACATTACATAATTCGAGGATTACAGTTTCGATTCATGAAACAATTATGTTTCTACATCAAATGAAGGTTACAAAAACATACCGGGTGTAACATGATCATGGAACATCGCTTTTCAGATATATATAATTATACTATAAACTTTATTGGTGTAAATTTTGACAAATAAATTATTTTTTCACCACTTTCATTTGCACTGTTTGATTTTCAAATGGAAAACCCTATATATCATTGCAATAATCAATTATATCTGTTTCAGTCTTCCATCTGAGTGCTAGTCGAGAATATAAATGTATATTAGTTATTACAGTTCGTCAGAATGGATCTCCGTATAAAAACATATATTGAAAGAAATCACATTGGAAATGGAAATATAGTACCTACTATGAATTGGTACTAATTATATGAAATTTATTTATATTATGCCGTTTCTAAACGTGCATTGAATTCATTCCAAATCGACCAGATATAATACGAACACAATCTTCATTAAGATTATTTTTTTAAATTATATAATCAATTATATCCTTCTTGAACAATGGCAATTGTAGAAGTACCAATTTAAATAGTTATCTAGGCAGATAAGGAAGCTCTGGAAAACAAAAACACAGGTGGAAATAAAATAAAATATACACCTTCTATTCAATGTTATATTAAGCATCAGACCCTCGTCCACAACCACGCATGAAGAATATCAATCAATCATACATTTTCAGTGTTGGAAAGGAATATCCTCAGATAAATTATGAACATAAAAAATGGATATATATATATAAAGCAATACATTGAGAATTCGCATTCTCTATGTGAGTTATATACCTATAACTTTTATATCATTTTACATCATATTATTATTCATCCGATTTGAGAAAGAATGTCAATTCTCAATTTCGGAGAATTTAATTTTTCATTTTTTATTTCTCCTGTTTTCCTTTTGGATGTTCATCAGATATAATTCAATGTTCGACGTGGCAAATAGCCAGGAAAGTAGTTGTTTTCTTCCATTCCATTTCCATTTTTTATGTTCATAATTTATCTGAGAATATTCCTTTTCAACACTTTCATACCCAATCAAGGGGTTCAAACTTGAACGATGGAAACTTGTCATTTTTATAGACCACTAATCACAGATTCGTGATTGAGTCTCAATTCAGAATTGCTTTCCCCGCCCTGTATGATGAATATCAATTTATCATACAACCAAACATACATTTTCAGCTAAAAAAATATTGATATATTTATCTTAACCGAATTTTCTACCAACAATTGAAAACTTTCCAGTGGCAAAAATCTATTCCCCTAACCAATTAATTTGAATCAGCCCTTAAATAATTCTAGTTTCAATGGTAAAAACGAAAAGAATAAGATATAATACCTGGAGATGACAAGAAATGCATACCTGTTTGTAGCATGCTCATTGACAGTCTTGACAGCACACCTGATTTCGGACTTGCCCCTGATGTCATGTGCTAATCCTTTCCACACCATCCCAAAGCTGCCTTGGCCTAGCTCCTCGATCAAATCAATTTTCTTCCGAGGAACCTCCCAGTCGTCCGGGACGTACACACTCGGAACATATTCGGGATTAACCGTTTGAAAAAGTCTCATATTCTCTCTTTCCTTATGATGCTTCCTACATAGGAATCCGGAAACTAGTATAACCTTAAACCAAATGCTAGTCAATCGAATGAGTTGGTTGAGGTTACCGCACTTACTGCGAAAAGTAAACCGAGGATAATGCATACAATAAGAACGGTATTTGATGAGGGCTCTTTTATGTAGAAGTAAACGTAGCCTGAAGATCCTGCACCTCCTGAAGAATACGCCCTAACTAGTAAGCTATAGTTGCCGGGAAAAAGTTTCGGAATCGTATACACCATTGTTTCGTTTTTTTCTCTTGAATTGACACATTCCGGAGTAGGTCTTGCCTAAAACATACAATCGTAAGAATAAAATACAATTCTAGGGACACATGTTGAATATATATGCGGTAAAAACATGGAGAGAAAAAAAAGGTTCAGAAATGTGTTTCATAACGATTGAAACGTACATTTGACCCTTACCACGGATAAAGAGTCTTACAAACAGTTGAATCTTTCATATGTAGGTCGGTATGTTTCTTTTCCCAACTATTTCTTTTGCGATAAAGAATCTGCAGCAGTATATTTCCCTGTCAAGTTACTCAAGTTAATTGTATTTTGAAGTCTCGTCATTGACTATACAAGGTTTATACGCGTCTGGCAAAATACATCCTGTCCCAGGAAAACCATCTATTGAAAAGAATACGCATAGAGAATCATGGGTATATGATAAAGAGAGAAACAATATGCCACTGAGGCGCGCTCGGAGGAGGAAATAACGCGATACGAAGGTGAACCTTTTGGAGCAATAAAAAAAATTGGCAACAGAGCTGTTTTTCTATTCATTAGATATCCATGCAAGCGCATGCACTTCAACATATGCTTTCCGAATTATTTGGCCAGACGTCTATACTCAATGATCTCGTACACTCCGTGTGCTAACCTACTTTTTAAACGGTTATAATGCCATGAGACAAACCTCATCCTCTGACGAGATCCAACTGGATCCGATGAAGCATGTGCGTTCAAGTCCTTCCAGGCAACCAGATGACGAACGATCACATCACTGTGACATCCCTAATTGGTGATTTTTCGTCAGATACGTCAACACGCGAATTTATAACGTCACTATGACGTACTTTCTATGACGTGATATTCACGTCATTATCTCGATGTCTAGTGAACGTCACTTAGAAGGGTAAAATGAGACGTCAGTTTCAAGACGTTGCAGGGACGTCCTGTTGACGCCCATGTTTCCCAGACCATATCTAATGTGACTTATTCACGTCATTTATCACGTCATACGACGTCAACTCCTGACGTCACCTTGGTCATTCAACTGACGTAAAAAGACGTCACTGAAACGACATCTGGTTGCCTGGGCTGTCATGTTTCTTACTCACTCTCACTCATGTTCCCGAACACCAGGTGACATAAATCAATTTCATGACTGCCAGTTTTAGATCCATCTGCGCCTTGCAGCTGGCAAGTAATTTTGAAAAAAATTCGGGTTGCTGAATCGTAAAGCGTAAATGTATTCAATATGAATTTGTAACATTGTTTCAAAATGATTCAACGTTGGTGAGGAGAATAGAAACATTATGATGCGAATGAACAATATTTCTAGACGAAAGTATAAGAAATTCTCACGCGAACTACTATGATGAATCATAAAATATTAGTGAATATAAAGATTTAGAATGGAAATTTATATTTTTTTGATTGAATGAAAGTACTCTACTAATTTGAGGTCTGCAGAACTTTTCAATTCAGTTAACGAAAAACGCACTATTCTTTTAAATGTAATTATAATGATATAGGTACTGTTTTCTCAGTGTAGAAAAATAATAACTCCATTCAACCATGAAATATTGTTCAACAACCGAAGAGAAAATAGAATGGTATTTCTGTTTCAATACTGTTATTCATGTCAATGAAATTTTTCGAATGTGATTCATTCGATTCTTTTGATTGGGTAATATGTTACCGACTACATTACCAGTATCAGCATGTGAATAATGTATGAATAAGGGTTGAAAAAACATAATTATTTCGAATGGTTCATTTTGAAACATAAACGTACACAGAGACTAACGCCTCATTTCGTACACATTTGCCTTGATTCAATCACTCCTTTATATATTTTCATCTGAATTTGATATGTCAGCGTTTGATCGTATATGCCTTCGAAATATCGTTTGATATACTGACTTCTTAAAATTTTCATATACAGATTGTTTTCTCACCACCCAGTACCTTCCTGAAAGTTTTTTGGTTACGCATATACAGGGCGGGTCAGAATAAGACCGACATACCTCGTTTTCAGAATTTCACCTTCCTTTAGAAGTAAAAAGTAATTGGGTGTTCACTTGAAAATTTTATCATTTATCTAGACAACGTGTTTCTCTAATACGCGCAAGAAAATGTTGCTGATGTAATATAATGTCCTTGAATTTTCTACTCGTACATTCGAAAATGTTCTGGTGTTGAAGCATGTTCCGATAAGTTCTCAAAAAATAATGGAAAACAGAGAATGATCTCTCTCTATCTCTTTATCTTCTTTTCAACTTATCCTTAGTTCTTGGCAAATATTTATCTCGGATACCTTTACATGTAAGCATGTGGTTAGTTGTACTACTAAAGTCCAAACACACAGTTTGTCAGTCTTATTTCAAAAATATAGCAGTGGATCTAGAAACTTTTATGTAAGTAATTCAATATGAATGATGAAGTTTTGATAGATTTAATGGAATAAATCAAACCTTGTATTCTTTAATGCCATTATTTCGTTAAGCTACTTCCAGTTTCAGTGACCTCAACTTTCTTTTCCTAAATCTAACAATCTATATTTTTTCACATCGGGATTGAGGAAATCATTTTCATTATATTTTTTGTTTAATCATATCTTACTTCATTATTTCCATATTATGAAGATTATAAGGTAGGTACTTATGTTTTTAGTTAGTTGGGGAAGTCGTTAATCTATGGTTACTGTGGCATCAAGGAACATTCTGAAAAAAAATCTAGTATACCATCGTCCCATTTGGAAAATAACAAGTTATTGCCAACACATTATTTACTATGCCTTTATTAATTAGGAAGTTCTGAAAAATTGAAAAATGAATTTCTTGCTCGGAATAACAAGATTTTTGGGCAGTAACAGCCATCAAAAACCAATTGGAAACTTGACGCGAATAAGATGCATTTGTAGGTAAAACCATCTCCTGAATCAGAAAAACGTAAAAATACAGGGTTTATTTCTATATGGAAACCACAAATTGAGGTTACACCTGAAAAAACTGGAAATGACTCGATAAACAAAATGGCATCAACGAATGCAGAAGATGACGTACATCAATTTGTCGAATTTCAAAAATGTTATCGCGAATCAGCCAAAAGAGGGGGGAGGAGCTGGCTCTCGTGACCACAGTATACAGAGTATGTCACGACGAGCTTACACTATCTTTATATTTATAATCAGTATGGAGAAATCCATGAAAATGTGCATGCTTATATTTCAGAATACGCTCTCTTCATTTAAAATATTTTCAGCAACGCAGTGTTGCCGCTTCTACTAGAAAGTAGTAGCAACATTGATATTTCGAATGGAACACCCTGTATTTTTTCGCATTTTTAGTTTCTCCCTGAAGAGCTGATTTCATCGATGCATCACATTTGGGGTCTATCGAAAATGATTACAGAGATATAGGGTGTTCAAAAATCGAGATTTTTCAACTCAAGGATTTTGTTGTGTCGAAACTATTCATTATCGGTCAAAACGGCTCACATGTCCCTATCTCAACTTTTGATTCACTATTTATTGATATTTAATCGGAACAGATACAGGGTGGTTCAAGATTCAGAATTCTGATCACCCTGTATCTGTTCCGATTAAATATCAGTGAATAGTAAATCAAAAGTTGAGATAGGGACATGTGAGCCGTTTTAGCCGATAATGAATAGTTTCGACACAAACAAATCCTAAAGTTGAAAAATCTCGATTTTGAACACCCTATATCTCTGTAATCATTTCCGATAGACCCAAAGTTTAAAGTATCGATGAAATCAGCTTTTCAGGGAGAATCTAAAAATGCGATAAAATACAGGGTGTTACATTTGAAATATCAATGTTGCTACTACTTTCTAGTAGAAGCGGCAACACTGCATTGTCTTAAATATTTTAAATGAAGAGAGCGTATCCTGAAATATAAGCATGAACATTTTCATGGATTTCTCTCGACTGATTCTCGATATAAAGATAGTGTAAGCTCGTCGTGACATACCCTGTATATTATCCTTTCTCGCGAAAGGATAATATACTGTGTCGTGACCACTCGATATAAAAGTGTATATCGTGGGCGTACAAGCAGAATCATGTAAGTCCAGAAAATAATATAAGGAAACAAACGCAAAATGGACTTGAATGTTTATTTGCCTGGAACGTTACGCTATGTGTGATAAATTCCTCATTTCCGAAAAAAGTGGACTTAACAGGGTTCTGCTTGTACGCCCACGATATGGGCTTGAGAGACGATGCAACTCAGACACTTCGCGAGTTGCTCATGTATTCAGTGTGTCCCAAATTCATTGCTTTTTACGTATAGAAATGGGAGTTTGACATCCAAGAGACACTTTTTCACCATCTCTCCAGTTGAGTTATAAGTTTATTCGATACAATCGTATTTGCTTCGATTTTTCCAGTTTTCAATCCACCATCTGTTATAATAACGTGATCCCAATGGTGACAATCGAATTTGAAACACACTGTACATATTCGGCGATGGAACATGATAAACGGTGAATTGTGGAAATACGATCACCAATTTTTTTAATTCACATAATCGGAGGTTGTGTATTAATGGATTGGATCGGATAATACGACTTACATTCACAATATCTTCTCTTTTGTACTCTATCAAATACATGTATATCACACCATTTGGATCTCTTGGCGGCTCCCATGAAACTGTTACTGTGTCCAAACTTTGGTTGATATAGATCCTGCTTATATTTTCAGCACCGGCTAAAAAAATATTTCGATTCAATTTTTTTGGGTGGGAATCGTAACTTGGAAACTCAAAACATTTCGTTTTTTTTATCCCAGATAAATAAATCATCAATTTCTTCTCGAATAATTGCTATCTTATTCCAAATATATGCATAAAAAGTATTAAATTCCCGTTTCATACCCCTGAGGTCCCAGTTAGCAGAGTAACATGAAAAGATGTCATACTGACGTCTATATTACGTAATTTTTGGTCCCCGACGTCTTTTGACCAGAATATGACCTAAAAATGACGTCATATTTCATGACGTCTTATTGACTTTTAAAACTGGCGTCCCTACAAAGTCGTATACTCTTCCATTCGACCAAATAAGAAAAAACAGTCGATTATACACCTTTACATCGTCTGTTTTGTACTAAATTTGTGTTTGTATATATGGTACTTCCGTAAAGTACTGAATGAATATTTTTTTGCTAAATTAATAAAGAAAAATTAAATATACAGGGTGATCCAGGGTTAAGTTGACGACAATGACATTTTTTTTAATGAAACACCCTTACACTCAATTTTTGGAATCACCATGGAAAGCTGAATTCAAAAATCAATCACACATGTGGATTGTATATAGTGCGTCCAATAAATTAAATGCTCTCGTGAAGTAGTGGATACATTCATTCTGATCCATATTATCCATTTCTGAGAAATCTTCTAAAGCAGGTGGGACTTTTTATTTTCAATTTGACACATTTCTTAAGAGGAGAAATCAAATATATACAGAATGATACACGTTTGAATTATGACGTCCGCGATACATTTTTCAAACGGAACACCCTATATAATATCGAATTTAATAAAATAATATCACACATGGGGTTTGTATGCAGGGCATCCGCTAAAAAAATTCCGATGACGTAATTTGGCCTACACGAATCATTCTGTATGTATTGATTGAATTTGGATGAAATCTCGGATGGAAATAAAATTTCACGGCTTCGAGCGTTAATTCTTTCAACTATTATTCCTTCAATTTTCAACGAATTTATCCACAACTCTACAAAAGCACTCAATTCAACGAACGCAGAGATTCAAAAAATCGAATAAGTCATAGGGTGTGTTCCAATGGAAAAATTTCCGCGGTCGCTGTAACTCAAACGTGAATCACCCTGTGTATTCAATTTCCTCTTATAAATACTGGTTATTGAGAATGAAAGTCTACCTGTTTCAGAAAATTCCTCAGTAAGGAATAGTATGGCTATAAATGACTTTGTTCACTACTTCACCAGATCACTCAATTTAACGGACACAACGAATTCAGATTTTCATGGATATTTCAAAAATTGAATAATACCTATCCAGGGTGTTTTGTTTGAAAAAAATGCCGCGGACGTCTTAACTCGAACATGGATCACCCTGTATATCTGATTTTCACTATGAATGTCGAGAATTGAAATAAAAATCGACCTGTTTCAGGAGGTTTCCCCGGAATGGATAGTTTGGCTAAACATGTATTTATTCAGCGTACATCTCGCCGACGCTCGCTATATAATTTTAGGACTGCCCGGGAAGACCATCGACCAAGTTACCACCCATAGTTCCGAATAAATTTCATCAAAGGTTTGCGATGTATTATTATGTATCTATAACGTTTATATATCCCAGTTTTTTTATTTCGTCCTTTATAGATCATTCTGCGACGTCATTATGACCTAAATATGACGTCATTATATGGTATCTCAGGCGTGATATCAAGACGTCCACTTCGTCATTTTATGACCAAAAAATGACGACTTCTTTCCTTTAGTTCGAAAAAAAAATTTAATTAGCAATTCCTGTTTTTTTTTACCCCATCCGAAAAAAAAATCCAGGCCATGACCTTGACCGTAACCTCCGCATCTCTATCTAAAAAAAATTATATTTTATTCTAGTCTACCACTATCGATAAGCAAATATTTGTGAACCAATAATATATATCCACATCAAGAGCACAGCTATGAAAACAAGGTCTACAATGTTGTAGTTACCTTGATGTATTTATTGAATTTATACAGGTTTATCATTATCAACAAAAAAAAACTTCTTGGAAATGTGTCCTAGAACACTTGGTTCCCGCAATACAGGGCGATGAAGTGAAAAAAAGAAAATATGTTCCTTCAAATAGAATATTTCTGGAGGTTTGACCTGCAAAAAAGTTGTACATGGTTGTACCATTCAGTTAATCCTGATTTTATATCAGAAATGTATGTTTGAATTCAGAAGTACACAGAACTTTTGTGCAAAAATGAAAATAATCGTGTGATGGCGTCAATATTTCATGAACGTTTCTAATTAGACAGTAGCGAAAAATATCACCCTGTATTTTATTTCATGTTGATTACTTCTGTGAACTGTGAACATGACACAGTGGTCAGTGGTGTAATGGTATAACATTTTTGAACTCATTTCCTGTTTCGAGAGATGAATTGTTCATGAATTATAGATTTGTTTTTAATACCTCTACTATTTCAAAAATCTTCACAATTTTCATATGTGTATAAATTGATATTTCTCAATTGTTTCAAGTTATGCATCTACCTAGATGTGAATACAGCATGTATCATTTTGAGAGTATCCCCCTCTATACAGGGTGTTCCTTAATGATATGCTTATATTCAAGAGGCCGATAATTCGACCATTTCGAGAGTTGAACCTCATATGATCGTATCTCGTAAACGTCCTAACTTTTGAGATACCAGGTTGTCAATGTTGAAAATATGCAGTTTCTTCTTTATCCACCCAGTATCCTTTTGTGATAGCAAAATTCAGTCTGCTATGTGACTGAATCGGTATGAAAATTTCAAAATATTACATACCGCGGTTATCCAGTAATAGATGTCCTGAATGGAGTACTTAGACATCAAAATTTGAAGTCTGGTCTCGTTTCTCAGTTTTGTTTCTCTAAAACGAAACGTTCTATCGAGTACCAACAAGAGGATCTTTTTTGTACATAATTGAATAGCCTTTCATAGCATTGTACGAAATGTTAAAATGTTCAGTCGTTGCTCACTTTAAAGTAAAATATAAACAATAATATTCCCGTAGCGGTTCCACTGGTAGAGAAAATGAAAATTTTCGTACATCAGAAAATGCACCTTCATGCATAAAAGACGTGTACCAAATTTCATGAAGATGTTTACAATATTGTCTCAGTTATAATAAAAAAAACTGATTATTTTTCAAAATTCATTATTTATAATATTCATTTATCACCCTGTATCTCAAGAGTAAAGACTTTCAGGACATACGCTCAAATAAATTTTTCTTCTTGAAATGAGTCAAATAATAACATCAAATATTAGCATGTCTTTACACCCTGTATATCAGCTATTAGTTGTATGATTTGGACTGCTGTGAATAACCATCAATATGATCAGTTTTTCAGAGATGAACATCATTATGTACAGTGCCGTGCATTTTTAATAAAATAAAAAGGAGTCGATTGTTTATGAAATATTGATAATTTTTTTTAAGGAGAACTAACCTCATGGCATTGTTCTTCGTTGGGTTAGATATTTGAAATTCTAATAAGGTGTAACTCGATCCCTCTGACAATTAAAAAATTTTGAAGTGGTCGATTTGTAGGGCAACAAGTTGAACGATGGAAACTTGTTATTTTTATAGACCTTCAATCGCAGATTCGTGATTGGGTTTTTCTCAATTCAGAATTTCTTTCCACGCCCTGTATGATAAATGTCAGTTTGTCATACATCTAAAACAATTGCCACCCACATGACTGGAGATAAGTCAACAAATTTTCATTCTCAGATAGATGTCAGTTCCACTATAGTTTTAGTTATATTATTATAGAAATGTGAAAATTGTGTATTAAATGAAGAATGACTGAAGGAATGACTGGACTTCAGGTTACTGAGGAGAGTTTGAAACTCGAAATGAATTTTATTCGAATCAAAATCATCTAACCTATGTGAAAGAGATGTGCATATATCCCAAACATCATGGATACGGATGATTTTTTGATAAATTCACGACTCAACAAGAACAGAGTATGTATACTAGTATATTTCTCCCATACATTCCAATTTTCATACCAATTTGGTAAGTAATATATTTTTTATATCGTTATATTCATCATAGTATTCATCCGATTCTGGAAGAGAATGTCAATTCTCAATTTCAGACGATATTCATTTTATGCTCAAATTCCTATCGTGTATGTTCAATTGATATAATTCAATGTTCGTCGTGGCATATAGCCAGGAAAGTAGTTGTTTTCTGTTGAATATGCCGAGAAAGAATTAATAATTTCATCACATAGAGAATGCGAATTCTCAATGTATTTATTCAAATGTATCCATTTTTTCATGTTTATAATATATCTGAGAATATTCCTTTTCAATACTTTCATACCCAATCAAGGGGTTCAAACTTGAACGATGGAAACTTGTTATTTTTATAGACCTTCAATCGCAGATTCGTGATTGGGTTTTTCTCAATTCAGAATTTCTTTCCACGCCCTGTATGATAAATGTCAGTTTGTCATACATCTAAAACAAAAGTTGACAGGTGGTTGAAAATTTTAACAAACCAAAATTGTTTTTCAAGAATTAAAAAAACTGTACGAGGAATTTTTAAAATTTATTCATGTTATGAAGATACGGATTCAATTCTATCAAAGGTTTCCACACTGTATAGTGGGACACTCGGTACATGTAGTTTGTGATGGATGATAAATAGTGGATCAAGAATATGGGTTTTATACTCACTTTTCGGTTGAGTTCTTTCAGTTTGCATGCTAGTACTACTGCAAGGGCTGTCAATATCATCTTTCCCTTCAACTTCTCTGCATGCTTGCACGTTTATATCGTACAGGGTGTAATGATGTAGCTTGTTGATGAAAAAATGAGTTTTTCCATAAATAGGAAAATGGAAAGACTCCCATATGTTGGTGCCGTTTTCAGTAACGTTCTGGATTTGGTTATATTCGGGGCCGGGATGAGAATTAGAAGATAAGCCAGTTGGTGTGGAGTTGGTAAGTGTAATGTTGGAATAAATTACGACCTCTCTCTTCTTCTTCGTAGTTGGCCTGAAAAGTACAATATCAAAACCTACATCTTTTCTTAATTTTTTTACGGGTCAGCTTACTACGTGAAAACATCAAAATAATTTATTTGTATCTGATCTAATTCACCAAATTTGACTGATGAAATTTCGTTCGATGGTAGAAAATGCTCACCTGGATTGCCTAACGTGGTTGCGTTGGGCTAGCCCTGGCTGGATACTGTCCTGGTTCACTTCAATGGGTTCACCAAGGAGTAATTCACTACAATTTTGGAGTTTGTTATGACCTAATAGGTTTATAATTTTAGAGAGGCCGGTAGCGATATACACACACGATGCTGAATTGATAATAATTTTTCTGTCTTTTTTCCGGCGTTGCCAAGCTTCATAGCAAATTCTACCATATGAAGACGCGATGAATAATTTTCATTATAATTATTGAAGTTCGTTTCAATAAACTACTACTAATTATTATTTTGAATTATTTCTAAATTAATTGAGAAGCTACAAAACAAAACATGCTGCCCACCTAGGAAATGTGTCGCATTTCATAAACAAATAAAAACAAAAAAATTATAAAATATAGGTATCTGTGACCTTGAAGGGAATATATAATATATCTGAATATACGCTCAATTAGAAAAGGGCAGCGGAAAAATTTTCACCGCGAGTCGTGTGAAGGTGCTATTTATCGTTTTCAAAGTGACGACACAAGTTACGCCATTACGCCCTGGGTGCACTGCCAAAATACGCCCCATTTGCCATTTGAGTGGAGGTAATTGTCCGTTTTTTATCAAGACCAAAGTATTTGGCAAAATTTCATCTTCTGGGAGATGCCATTTTCCACGGTGTTGCAATGTGTGTAAATACTCCCGCTGCCATCGGTTCCAAAAACTTTGATGGATGTGAAGTAATAATTGCCATCTATTGAGGCGATATCCAGATAAATGACAAACATCATAGTCTTGTATGGCATTCAATGGTTCTAACGACAAAAAATGACCAGGGGTCAAAACAGTTAGATCATTTGGATCGGAGCTGAGGGGACATAATGGCCGAGAGTTTGATACCGCTTCTACCTGGATCAAAACTGTATTCAGTTCTTCGTACGTTAAAACTTTGTCTCCAACTGCCCGAGTGAGGTGGGTTTAAACCGACTTGATGCCTGCTTCATGTAGGCCGCCGAAGTGTGGACTGGAAGGAGGGTTCAGGACCCACTTAATGCGTTCATTTTCAGAACACGACTGCATAATGTCTGACAGTTATTTTTTGGCTGAAACAAAATTTGTACCACAATCGATGTGAATTTCAGCACAACGACCATGACGAGCTATAAAAATACAAAGAGGCATATGTAGGATTTCAAGATCTTGGCGCCTCTGATTTTGCGTCTAATAGAAATCGGGCCACCATAGTCAACCCCAACACATGAAAATGGTTTAATAGGAGATAGGAGAGTTTAATAGGAGATATTCTATTAGAGGGAAGACCTGACATAGGAGGTTGCAAGGGTCGAGGATTCAAACGCCAACATCGAAGACACTTGGACAAAATGCTACGAATACGCATTGATAAGTACTGCACCATTTGAATGCCAGGGTGAAAATATATTTGGTGAATATTTTCGATCATTAGGAATGTCAGACGATGGTGACGAGGGAGAAGAGCAGGGTGTTTGGAGTCTGGAGATATATAAGCATGCCTCAATCGTCAACCAACAGGTTACAGAATCAAGAACAATATTGAGCCTCCTGAGTGGTTTAGATGAGAGATGACCTCTTCTTATGAGGGAGATATCTAGAGAAGAAGTTTGGTACTGCACAATTTTAACAAGTTTCATCAAAGCGTGATGGGTGTCTGTGATAGTTAGAATATCGTTGTTTTCGATCAGGATTCTTCGGGTTGAATATGAATCGCAAAACATAGGCAAATAATCCTTTTATTTTTTCACAACGCAGTGATGAGGAATATAATAGGTATTAGATATCTGAGCACCTTCATAAATGAGTTCCATATGATCATTGTCGAGATATTCGCGAATGAAATCACAGTACGCTTGATACAAGGAAGGATTCCGAATGAGTCGTCGCTCTAATGATAGGAATCTCCGTAAAGCCAGTGATCGAGAGTCACCAAAAATTGGATTGGGTTCTGTAAAGGGTAGTGGAACAGTATATCTGCCACTATCATTTCTAGGAACATTTTCTGAGTAGATTTCTTCGCAAAGAACTGCATCAGGAGACAAAACCTTCTGACGAGGAATCATCAATTTCCCAGAAGGCCTTCAAAGTATCGTCAAGGTTAGATGGATTGACCTTAGAGCGAATTGATGAGTTTGTACGCCCCATCAAAACCCAACCAAATGGGGTTTCGATGGCAGAAGGTTCTGAATTATCTCCGACAATACGGCCACTAGATAATCGATGGGTCCAGGGATACCAAAACCTGGATCAGCCAGTTGTAAATTTTTTATGCGAGGAAGTGAATCACGCAATCAAGTAGCAGCCTAATTTCATTGAAATTTTCTTGAGAATCTGCAACGGAGACCAAAGCCGTTGAGAGCAACACCGTAGTTTGAAAATTGGAAGTAGTTCCTGCTGAAGCGTTGAGAGAGGTAGTAGTAGAGTTTTGAGAGAATGTGGTCTGATTAGAAGGTGCACTAATATCAATAGATGATGCGGCATTATTAGAGACTTCAAAATGAAGTAACGAATGGTGTTTTCTAGAACAAGTTCTGCATGATACCTTGGAGGAGCAATCCCCTATTGAATGGCGTGATCCTAGACAGTTGACACACCAAAGATTTCGTTTGCAAGTATCATACCTAGCTTGGGGCGAGAGAGCTAAAAACTTAGGATAAATATAAATTTGATGTTCTGAGTGACACAAGGGACATTAGTTTTTGTTTGCATTAAGAAAAAACGTGGAAGATTGCCTGGAAGAACTATGTGGTGGTTGATATATTATTTTATTTTTTTGTGAGCGTCATGAGCTGATGGCCTTTTTTGGAATGAAAAATCGGCAGCACTGCTTCAAAATAAATTTTTTTAAAGTTTCATATGAGGGCAGTGCATCACCGTTACCTTCTTCTAACTCAAATCGCGTAACTGTATTTGAATCTAATCGCTTGAGAAGCATGAAGCATAATATAAAATCCCAATGTCCTGTCGGAAGGTTCATATTTTGCAGAGCTGTTACATTTTCTTCGAATGTATCTAGAACTTGTCTCAGATTATTTGAATTAACCTGATTTTCAGGCAATTTCACAAAAATGAGCAAACGCAATAAATCGTCGATAACGCTTCAGTAACGCATTGTATGCAATTGCATAGTTTGCAGAAGTTAGGGGGGTTGTTCTTACCAGAGCCAGAGGTGGGCCACTCAAAATAAAGAATAAATAACCAAATCATCGAGTTAAATAAATCAATGAAAGTCCTGAACTTCGTGACTTCTCCAGAAAAGGTTGGAACTTTGGTAAGCGAACATGACTATTTCTAGGATTAGAAACTGACTGATTCAAATTATTCTCAGATTGGGTCAGCTCAGTTTCAAAAATCCTTTAATAAATTGCTTGAATTGCATAGTAATGTTCATCAAATTCAGTTCTGATATGCTCATGTACATCCAAATCTGCATTATCCATAGTGGATAAGGTAGATACTAGAGTATCATGTTGCTTATGAAAGTCATCGAATATGTGATCGATATGTTTGAAACGAGCCTTAAATTGGAGTTCAGCTGCTTTCTTCACAAGTGCCCTTTCAGCAATCCCCTTCATTTCCGACATGCGATTAATGTCAGTTTGACGGAATGCCGTAAGTAACTCAATTTTATTTTGAGCAGCTTGAAGAGCCATTTTTATTGAACCTAGCTATAACTAATTGAAGTAGAGAGAATATAAATTCAGAGACCGCACTGATTCCAAAAAAATGGAAAATTTATTTTTAATTTCACACAACGTGTGTATATGACGTGAAATTACAGTGATGACATTAATTCAGAGCAAACAGCGAGAAAATATCACTAATAAAGTACAAGATAACGAAAAGTTCTACTATCACTTTAGAGTAAAACTTTCAACGAACAATCACCTCAGGAGTGTATATGGCTCAATTCATCAGTTATGAATGATGAAAATGTTAACAGATTTGGGATTAACGAACAATAGTCGAAAATAGTAATTTTAGAGAGAGAACATGTGATCCGGCAACAATGTTTTCCGTGAACTGAATGGGAGCCAGCGCGGGCCAACAAAAAGTGGTCGGTATATGGTGGGTAGGTTTTTTGCGGAAACTCTTTCCAATATTTAAATGAATGTGATTAGACCAGCACTGTTTTTTATAGAATAAAATAATACAATGAATGAAATTATCTATTGAATCGAACTTCTCTGTAACAAATTGATGAAAGTTACTAAACATTCACTAGTTCATTTATAGAAAAATAATCCGCTTATCTGCTTTCGAAGGACCATGATCTGAATTCACCAAATTTGACTAATGAAATTTCGTTCGATGGTAGAAAATGCTTACCTGGATTGCGTAACGTGGTTGCGTTGGGCTAGCCCTGGCTGGATACTGTCCTGGTTCACTTCAATGGGTTCACCAAGGAGTAAAACAATACGATTTTGGAGTTTGTTATGACTTAATAGGTTTATAATTTTAGAGAGGCCGGAAGCGATATACACACACAATGCTGAATTGATAATAATTTTTCTGTCCTTTTTCCGGCGTTGCCAAGCTTCATAGCAAATTCTACCATATAAAGACATGTATGTTGTTTGTGCTCTTTCCAAAATTTAAATGAATGTGATTAAACCAGTACTGTTTTTTATAGCATAAAATAATACAATGAATGAAATTATCTATTGAATCGAACTTCTCTGTAAGAAATTGATGGAAGTAACTTAAAATTCACTAGTTCATTTAAAGAAAAATAATCCGGTTATCCGGTTTCGAAGGACCATGATCTGAATTCACCAAATATGACTAATGAAATTTCGTTCGATGGTAGAAAATGCTCACCTGGATTGCGTAATGTGGTTGCGTTGGGCTAGCCCTGGCTGGATCCTGTCCTGGTTCACTTCAATGGGTTGATCAAGGGATACATTCCTACAATTTTGGAGTTTGTTATGACTTAATAGGTTTATAATTTTAGAGAGGCCGGTAGCGATATACACACACGATGCTGAATTGATAATAATTTTTCTGTCCTGTTTCCGGCGTTGCCAAGCTTCATAGCAAATTCTACCATATAAAGACGCGATAAATAATTTTCATTATAATTATTGAAGTTCGTTTCAATAAACTACTAATTATTATTTTGAATTATTTCCAAATTAATTGAGAAGCTACAAAACAAAACAATATGCGTAGACCCAAAACTTGCTTATAAGATAGAAAAGGGAAACTTACCTTTTTACATACACTTCGTTATGCAATTCATCTTCAAACTTGATTCTGCCTAATTCCTCTTGTTCATCGATGCTGGTTCTTGTCTGAGGGTTATCTTCACATTGACACTGATCTTTTTTTGACAGTGGAAGGGGTGTGGTTGATGGTATAATTCGGTAGTCCTCTTTGGGAAATTTTGTGATAGCTGAACATTCCAAGTAAATGTCAAAATGAAATGTGTACAATTTTAAATCAAACAAAGTTTCTAAATTAGATAATATGAAGATTATGTGTGATTCTACAAATACCAAAGTGAACACTAGACATAAAAAGTTTGATTTTCCTTCAATTATTCATTTTTATGCAGACCTCACTGGTTTTCTTAGTTGAAGGCAAGATATTTGATGAAATAATTATTCAGTTCGAATTGTATGATATCAATAATGGCAAGGCAATATTCGATCTAACAAACAAATACCGATATAGTTCAGATACTCACAATCTTGACAGTCTGTTGTGTACAAATATCCATTCTGATGCTTTTTTCCAGAAACTATGTAGTGAGTAATATGACCATATGGATGGGCAGGTGGTGACCATGATATCCTCAACGAGTCACTTGAGTTGCTCACAACATGTAGATTTAGTGGAGAAGTTGGCACTGAAAATTAGGTTACCAGGAAATAGTATACATATTGTAATTCAATTGATGGCTATAAATATAGGATATGGTTCCTCAGCTCATTTTAATCTTCTTCTGAAGATGAATACATAGTTAGCGAAACACGTGTCGATGCGTTTTAAAAATCGGTTTGGTTAGTGGTAAAGCAGTGTAGTGGTTTATCGTGCAAAAGGTTCCAGTCTCCGTTACAGATGATGCCCAATTCAATGGTGATATTGGCAATGTTGCCAAATCAACAGTTTTTCAGATGTTGTCATATTTCAAAACCCACATTAATTTTAAATCTCATATTTGGAGACAGAAGTAATGAGGGGGCGCTGAATTGATTGCATAAAAATACATAGCCTCACAGTTTAGCGTATTCCATTTGAAAATATTCTGAGAATATTGGACCGCTCTCATTTCAAGGAAAATGCCATGTTATTCAGAAACCACATCAATTAAAACTCTGATATTTGGAGCCACAAGTGATGAGGGGGCGCTGAATTGGTTCCAATGAAAATAAATAGCGTGTTCTGTTTGAAAAAATTGAATATATGAAAAACTGTTGATTTGGCAACTATTAAAAATTTTGGGTGAGATAAAGAAGCATGTACCCCCCAGAAATCTATGACCCTGTAGATTTTGAAAATCTTCAAAATGCTTAAAATGATGATCTTCTAGGAAGAATTTCTAATTGATATCCTCAATAGTGAGCAAGATATTTTAATCAATTAATCTTTGACCTCTTGTAACTCCGCTACTGAAGGGGATGTTTATAGAGATTTTTTTGATTAAAATGAGATCTGTCACACATTTCAGTTTGCGCCTTAAAACATGAATCACCCTGTATATTCAGAATTTAGAATGATGATTACGAAATATCTATTGGAACAGAAAAAATTTAGGTTCACTCAAGATGCAAACCTTGAGTCCAAAATCATGCATTCAAGAATGTCTACATATTTGGATTATTTTTATGTATTTCCTGATAATAATCCATCGAAATGAAATTTCGGAAATATTTGATGGCACGACTACAAAATGTTTTTCTTACTCGATGGTGAAGTCCTAAAATACTTCATTTCGCTTTGAGATCCATTCCTTTCACTTGCAATAGTGTATGTTTTCATATAGAGTGCGTAATCAGTGTAGGGTTTTAAATTTTGCAATTGCATCACTCTGATGCCATCGCCCTCTTGGTTGGGAAAATCAACAACTCGCCATCTGGAATATAAATTTTCATTTATTCATCCTACATTTGAATATTGTTGACACGATAACGAAAAATTTCGACACACGTTAACAATACAAAAATTCCAATAGCATAATAAGGGAGTCCCTAAAATGTCAGTACAAAATATTTTATACCACTGATTCCTGAAGACATAATAATGAGATTGGAGCAAACTTCGTTACACTGGATACTGAAATTCCAACGCCGTCTACCCACTATATATATGGCGTTGAAGTTTTTCGAAAATTTTGATCGAATAGCTAAAAAACATGTCAAGGTAAATGTCCCAATTATCGACGCCTTAAGAAGTTTTTGCTACTTCATATGGGAGTAAAAATTGCAATATAAGAGTTATAGCTTCAAAAACTTCGCTGTGAATTATTATAATATTGATTAGTACTATACAATTCTCAAATTTCATATAGCAACACATACTTTAATAATGAAACATGCAATAGTTGAAAAGGTCTATTTGACCCAATTATCGACAGGGTAAAATTTGTGTCGTACCTAATATCGACATATGTGAGTACGTAATACTGACACCTGATGAAATTGTTTCGAAGCAATTACTAACTCAAGTAAGTAACATGCAATTTAAATAATTAAATGATAATAAATTGAAAACACAAAATGAAAATCTCAGTGGCGTAGCTATAAAATATTTATTAAAATGGAACAAAATAAACAAAACAAATAGGTATTGGCATGAAGGTACTCAACCACTGAAACAAATATCTCCGGCAGACAGTTCTTTTTTTTGGCTGCATAATTTTCTCAAGAATCTCGCCTTCATTATACCGAAAGAATGTCAACCCTTGATATTCTAATGCTCTGTTATTTCTTCAATAGTCAAAATATTCTAGATGTTATAATTCTCTTCTTCAGTCCCAACTGTAACTAAGTTCATCTCATCATTATTCGAGGCTTTTTTAATGATTTGCAACTCTTCCTTTTTAGCCTTTCTCTCCTTCCGCTTCTGTTTGTTTCCTTATTTTTTCTGTAGTTGAATACTGTGATCTCTTAGCGTTGCTCATATTATATTTCTATTGAAAAAATACTGATGTACCAGCTATCGACTTACTAATTCATAGAATTCATATTTTCTGCCTTACCAGCCGGAGCTTTTTAGGGAAAGTAGGAAAAACCTACTTGTTTCATATTATGGTATGATAATTGATGCAGTAATAAGCATCAGATTCTTATTTTTTTGATTTTTAGTTGAAAAATGACGATGATTGGGACAGTTCCGAAAATTGGGACGTTTACCTTATACAATTTTGATCGACATACAGGGATTTCCTAGATAATGCATAATTTAAAAAAATTTAAACTTGATACGCTTCTAATTCAATTAATTAAATCAGCATTAGAATAAACCAAAACAAAACTCCATAAGATAGATCAAAATACCGAATCAGATTTTCATTTTTTTTTTAATAATAATTATCCATACACTCCGTGATTTTTGACATGTCATTTTATGTTTCAATGGATATAAAAAATGGTGCTTCTGGTCGAAACTAACAACTTTTCATGAAAATCTATCAAAAAAAGAAGTTATTCCTCCACTTTCTCACATGTTCAAATCACATTTTTTGGGACACCCTGTATAGGTGCCGAATTACTCACTCATCTGTCCCACAGGCATCTCGACCGTCATAAAACGACACATTTCTCAACGGCGTTTCTCTGATATACACACTGTAAGCTAGGAGCTTCCTTTGATCATCAATCTGAAATGGTACCCACCTCAAAGTGACCTCTTTATTTTTTATGTCTGTCACGTTGAGTTGAAGCGGTATGATGTTACCTGAAAATTGTGTGAATTGAAAAAAATGTTTGTTTTACTTATTCGGTGAAAATTTTTGTTCCTGGTACAGACTAGACAGCAGTGGCACCGAACATGAACATACAATGATTATAGAGGGAAACAAACAAAAAAGTATGATAAATATATCAAATATGCAATACAATGAAAGATAAACAGTTCAATCAGAATTAATCGATATAAGGAGGGAAAAATACTGGGTGTTCTATTTGAATTAACCAAATAATTATATAGTTTGACGTTACAGTGAGAGTACCTGACAATATAAAACACCCCGTATAATATTTATCGACCATTTATGCCCCATCTATTAGCTCGAAGTATTCGAAGTATACTGTTAAAAATTGTTACATTCAAATTATCGTGCTTCAATGATATCAAGGTTTTGTTAATACCTTACATTTTTAGAAATGTTGAAAAATCTCGAAAACTAAGAGAATTAGGTATAGGGAAACTCCAGCAAAGTTAGTTCATTTTTCATCGTAGAATTCAGAAATGCAATAAAATATAGGGTGTTCCATTTAAAAAAGTACAACTTTGATATGCCACCTTTTCTCGAGACACTCTGTATTCACCACACCATTTTTAAAATGTAGTCCAGATCGACATAATTTCCCCTGAATGAAATTATTTCTCAGAAAGTTCACCGTTTGGCCATTATAGCCCAATGCGTTCAGCTTGACTCACCCTGTATATTGACAAAAATATGAATTTCCCTAGAAAGTAATAATTCCGCTTCGAATTTCTGTTATGTTTGATGCAAAGTTGATAATGTATATCTTCAAGCATTTATTGGAGCAAAATTTGAATAGTTTTTTTGTAATCTAAAATGATAGTATACCTATATCATTAATCAAAACTTTACCAAACTGCTTATCATATATTGAACCGAAGTTTAGGACAGTTTTGCCAAAGTAATGATTTTTTGATTCAGTGTATTACAGAAACTTCCTAGGAATTGAAAAATATCAGAAACTAGAATAAGTTTTTTCTAGCCATTTTATATTCAGAATTTCTATAAAAATATTTTCAGTGCATCTATCAAATATTTTATGGTTGTATCGAAAACTGAAGATCGAGGTAGGCGGCTAAGTTAATAAACAGAAACTATGTCAAAAAGTATTCCAAGTGTATAACTTTTATCATCGTTTTGAAAAGTGCTCAGTGCTCAGTAGTGCTCGCAATGTCGAATTACTTTTTTGAAAGTGCTTAGTAATAGCAAGCATTTTTCAAAAGTGCCTAGTGCTTGTAAGTAGCACTTTTCGTCAGTGCTCGGCCCAGCTCTGCCTTGGTAATGTGTGTAAACAACCAACGAGTTCCTGTTTAGCAGAAACATCACATGATTTACTATCAACTAGTTTTTGTGGTCCATTTTATCTTCATGGCCTCAGAGGTTCAGGAATTCCACAAAAATCGAGAAACAATAATTGAATACGGAAAATAATTCTCGAAGGAATAAAAACACTCAACACAATAAACGAATAAAAAACTGGATGGATAATGGAGTAAACAAGCATTCAACTTGATAAAATAAAGTTTCGATATTTAAAAGTTTTGTTCTTTTGTGTTCAATATCAACATCTTGTAAAATTAAAGCCGATTTTGATCGTAGCTAGCAATCAAAAATAAGAAGAATATTAGTATTGACATGCTAGCTTTCCAGTTAAATTTTCATTAACAACTTTTGTACTCTTGTCCCCCCTGTAGGAATTTGGGGCAATATGTGATACATTCTGGAATTATAGTAAATCAAAAATCGCTCTGTTTAAAATAATACTAGAAGTTATTTAGATGGCAATGATATTGTTCTGTACTCACATGCTGTTTCGTCGCCGACAAAAATTTTTCATATAATGCTTGTTCGTTATTTCTTTCAACAACTGTATTGTTTTGTACTCACATGCTGTTTTGTCGCCATTCGAGTTTCTTGCAACGTCCAATTCAGAGAACGGTTTGAGCCCAGTGATTTCTCTCAATTTCTCTATCTTATCGTAGCATAATTTAGGGTTGAAATGAAAGTAAAACGTTCCATTGTCTATCTTGAAAGTTCGGTTTTCTGCGCTCCATAATTCTTGCAAATTTTGGTTGTCCAGTACGATGAACGCGTATCTTTTGCTTTCCTGATTCTTCCCCCGAATTCTCTTCAGGTTTTTCAGAAAATTCAACGAGACTAATGAGAACGACCTCACAACTTTCAGATAATCCGATATCTCCTCTATCATCTTTAGATTCTCTTCCAATTCTGTTACATTAGCTATAACAAGAGTTGATAGAATAAACGGCAAATTACTAACCATACATGGTTTTATTGGGTTTTAGTTTCGGTTTTAGTAACCTGGCATAACCAAACCTAACCTAGTTAAAGTTAAATCCAAGACAAAGGGGAGAATGGGGTAATAAGGCAAGCCAAAGCAAAAACAGCTACATCTTCTTTTTATTCATTTCTCTCGATCAACACCAACGATCGAAACCGCCAATCAAAACCAAATCAAAACAAATTTGAAATTACTCAGATTGGGCTATGTTCAGAAATGATTTGTGCCACTGCTTTAGTTTTAGCATAGATTTAGTATATTTGAGAGTAATTTGAGATTACAGAAGCTTGAATGATTATATGAAATATTTTTCACATCCCATGATTAATTCCTCTTTGTCGAAATGCGATAAGCGCAAAATTCCTCAATCCCACATTATATCATTTCCGTGTAATAATATGATTAAGTATCGGTATTAACGTATCAACTATGTTGGATGCTCACATTTCACAATAATCAAACTATCTTAAAAAGCAGGAAGCAAAACCATTCAAAATAATTACTCAATCCAAATCTATATCTAAATCACCATTTTGCATAGGTATCTAGGTATATTCCTTTCTTTGATTATTCGTGAACAGCGAACACTATCAGTAGGTACCTGATTGTAATTATAAACTTCTAAGAACTTCGTTGAAAATGACTGAAAATTTCTATTCCAGCTGAACAAACAAAGTCGGTAATATGTCTGTCTCATCTTTCCTCTACTAGATGTCAGCATGGATGTTTTATATCGTTCTCAACGAGGTTTTCAATCAATAGGTGACAAAAATGAGATGCGCCAAATTACCCTCTTCCCCGTTAGAACTTCAAAAGAAGATTATTCTGTGACAAAATGTCGGTTTTCTCTACCGAAAATTGATCTCAAAAGCCCTAAATATTCTCTGAAGATTTTTGTAGAGGGACTGATTTTAATGTCCCAATAACGAGAGCTTATGTTGTTCTGTGAGTTGAACAATCCATAGATATGTTATCCTAACTTTTTTGTGTCCAGACAGGAAAGTAGAATCCAGTAAAAAATGAATTTGATTCAAGTTTTCAATTTTGAATAAAAAAGGATATGATTCATGTTACTCGGTTTGAATACGAAATATGCCTTCTCGAAAATCACGATGTGTATCAACTTGAGTTTTGAGATTTGATCTCGGATTTGATACTTCTTCAAAGTTTAATTTGAATGAGTACGAAATCGTCGAGGCAATGTTCTTTGACCTACTGTTCCAATATAGCCTAGTGTAATTCTTAGTACCTAGATAAAATTTAATTTTCTTGTAAGAGAGAAATATACAGAGTTTGGAAAAAGTATGGAACCACTCAAGTATAGAATATACATCTTCGCAGGAATAATGAACCGTTGCAATTATACCTAGGTCCTTATACTCATTACTCATTCATAACATTATCAACCATTTTTTGGAGCCGTGTTTATAAAAACCGACTTTTTATGAGGGGTTAATCACGTGGGTTGTCCAGTGTGCCCAAGACGGGAATTCCTCCGGAAGTCCGGGTAGTCTTTGGGAATTCCTTGGGAAGTCCGGAAATTCATTGGGAAGTTCGGGTATTCTCTAGTTATTCCGAGGTATTCTTTGGGAAGACTGGGAATTCTTTAGGAAGTCTGAGAATTCCTTCGATAGTCCAGGTAGTCTTTGGGAATTCCAGGTATTCTTTAGGAAGTACGGGAATTCTTTGGGTATTCCCAGGAATTCCGGCCCTTCTTTCGACAAAAGAAATCTAGTGTACCCGAAATTGGCCCGTGATTTACCCCCTCGACATTTTATTTTGTATTCAGTATCGAAGAAGACGATGTTCATCGACAACCTTATTCGTTATACTACCGTGAGGTTGGTAAAAATGAATGAAAGTATCCTTTATACTATTATTGTTCATATTGTTCATACCTAATTGCTTCAAATTCACTAATAGATCTATTCTTATGATTAAATGATGATCGTTAAATGATGAGATTCGGAAACTATCTCAATTGTGATTTTTTCATAGAACAATGGAAATTTACATTGAGAAAATGCAGTTGTATACATCTAGTTGTGTGTACGAAAAACTGGACTTTGGGACAGATAGTAGAATGATGAACACCAAAAGATATTCCTTTTCTCAAATCTTCATTTATCACCATACATCGTGGAATTATGATATTAAACTCGGCCTCCATATTATTCTCCCCCAATATATTCATAAAAGGCATGTTGCTCAACCTGCTAAACTTGATTTTTTTCTATGACCATCGCTGTTCACCTAGTGCGATGAACAAAGATAACAATCGAAAAAAAAATCAACTTTATCTGATTCAGGAAGACCAACGAACAGACCTGAAAATTCAATGCATCCGTATGAGCATGATCTACTGTGGACAATAAGAAATGGAATAAATCCCCAGTAGTAGGTAATATTTTCCACCTCGTTTAGAATGAGAGATAACTTACTGGATCCTCTTAGCTGTATTTCCAGACTGCCTACAATGTGTGTACATCCTCTCAACTGTTTTGCTGCAGTCACACTGTCTATTGTAATACCTTCGCATGTTTTGTTACACCTTCCTACAACAATGGCCACATGAACCAATCAACTAATCGAGAACAACTTACGACATTTACCTCTACAAGGATCGCAGGTACGAGTCTTGTAATTATCTGTGAAATCGACAGGACATTGTAGAACGCAGGATTCTTCGTGTATTTTGTAGGGCTTTTCGACATCACTGGTAGCATGTAGCTGGATGGGTCTCGACATGTTATAGCACTCCGAGGGCGTTATGCAACGTCTGTCCAAGTACTAGAAAAATATTCCATGACCAGTTGAATTCACACAGTAAGTACTCTGGAAGACTAAGAAAAGGGGCAAGTCGGAGTGTAGAGTGGTGTATTGTCTGGAGGTAATATGTTTTTCGAACATGTGTTACATAATTTATCGCGTTTTCGGAGTTTCACTCCTTGTTTTTGAACTTTGAACACTGAGGGAAAATCCCTATCAACCATAGTCAGAAATCGAATAACCCCAGCAAGAAACTCTAATAGCATAGGGGACAAGCGACATATCACCTATGATTATAAAGTCGACTTTGATAATTATAACCCACCAACAATTATTAGATGTTTCTGTAGTAAGTATCTGACTTTGCTACCGCTAGTGAGTGCATCTAATAATGGGAGTAGGGCAATGTTATAATCGTAGGTAGGGAACTTTGCTACTCTTGATGGGTGATCATATAGATAGTTGCATGACCTTCTTACTGTAGTTATTCAGTTATTTTCCAGGATTGTTGTCATCAAAAAAGGTAAAATTTTGACTGATATCCAATTTCACTTCCCATAATTCCCACCCTGATGTTTGGTATGAATAGCAATTGATTGATTCCTAAAGAAAATTTCGAACCAATGATCATTGAAATTCAATAGATCAATTGATTCATGCACCCCCAGGAAAAACAAAAGGTTTTTGAGTAATTGATGAAAAAACGAATTTTTCTGAAACTTTCTGAAACCACTGTATTTCTAAAACTAGGCGAGTTATTACAGATGCGTACAGGAAAACAAAATGTTACCAGTAAAATCATTCAAATAATTTCATAACCTGAACATTTTTGCTCACAATAAATTTTCAGACCACATTCTATAGAGAAGCTCTGGAACATATTCGACAATTTTAAAGTTTCATGGTACCAAAGAGAAAGAAAATTTGAATGTAAAATATTTGAATTTCAGTCGAAATACCTCGAAAAAACTCACTTTTATCATTCTATCAATCCTGGTAATAACTGAAGCACTCAGATCTACGAATGCACTGAAAGGGACACAGAAGATTTTTCTATTTGTTTAAAAATGTTTCCATTTTATATTTGATTTCAGATTCAGATTTTAAATAATGAATTGAATTCAAAATATTCGTAACTGTCGTGTCGTCGAGATTGTCGTCCTGTTTTCATCAAGAGCCCAACTGTGAATGATTGATCAAGCAAGATGTCTGACAAATGCTTATATAGAGGGGGACAAATCAGCAAAATATCGAATAATGATAAGTAGGCGCTGAATAACCCCAAGTAGGTTCGTCAAATATTATTTTCGTGGCAGACTGACAGTTGTATTATTGGTAGTGAGTGCAGTTCTATGCGATGAACCTCGCAGCCACAAGCATATTACTCACTAGTAGTAGTTCAGCTAAAATCATGCTGTCCCAGAGTGGCTGCCTGATAGAGAGACCAGTATACCTTCCTGTGGCAGGAAATTCACTTTCAGCAAAGTCGTTATTGTTATCATAGGTTTTCAAGGTGCTGCTTCTATTCGAATATGTATAAGGGTTATATAATTTCTTGTAATGGTAGCAAGAAATATTTCAGCAAAAACTCTAATAGCACAATTTTCCTCAGTGTAGTATGGACTAATATCAAAACATTTTTACTAGACATAATATTAGTCCGGGGAAAGTGAACGATGTTTCCTGTATTTCAATCTATCTAATTATGTCATCTTGAAGTTCATGTCAAACAGATGTCACAGGCTGCATACCCTGCACTAACTAACAGAGCAATATCCGATGAAACGCCAGACCTTCGTTATTTTATAAAAGCTGAAAGTTTCTCATCGCATGCTCCCAACACAGGTACTGAATACATTCATTTTCAGTCAAACCATCAATTTCTGAAGAATCTCTGGAAATGAGTTGATTTTAATTTCAATTTGCCACATTCATACGCGGCAATTAAATATACAGGGTGATCCACGTTAGAATCATCATGTCAGCGTCAATTAATGGAACACCCTATATATTTTTCAATTTTCGGAATCTCCATGACAAGCTAAATTCATACATATAAAACACATGGGGTTTCTATACAGTGCGTCCTTTACATTAAAGATTCTCGTAAAGTAGTAGATAAATCTCGGAATTAATTCATTTTTAGCCAAACTATCCATTTCTGAGGAATCTACTGAAACAGGTATAGAATTTTATTTTCATTTTTCCACATGTGTGAGGGAAAAAGTCAATACACAGGGTGGTCTAAGTCTGACTCATCACGTCAGCGATGATTTTTTCTGATGATTCTGGAACACCATATACAGGGTGTTTCAGAGTTGTGGTGACAAAAGTCTAGGGGAGATTCCTCACAACAAAATATGAAAAAAAGTTCATATGAACGTGGGTCCAAAAATACTTCGTTTCGGAGATATAGGGTGTCCAAGTTTAAAAAAAAGTTTTTCATTAATATTGCTAAAACATATTTCTCACCAAATTTGATGATCGTATACATTTCAAAGAGGGTATTGCATTTTATGTATTTTTTGTTTCCATAAATAATAATGTGCAATAAGTTTTCGGATAATATTTAAGCATATTTATTTTTCCTAATGGAGTTCAGAGATATGCCGATTGCCCCTTCTTATCGAAAATGAAGTAGGATACGAAAAAATAGAAATAGACAGGCATGTTGTATTTTCAGAGGGTTCATCTGAATATTATTTGAGAACAACTCGGAGAAAAAACACAGGGTGACTTTTTTTCTACAACAAAAGCCGACTTGCTCGATGGGTACGCTCCTGGAAATTCTTGATCAAATCTAATTGGTCCAGTAAATGTCTGATGATGTGTAAATAGACCAAATAAATTTCATTCGCCTAAAGAGTTTCAAGATATTAATAAAAAACTCTTTTTTTTTTCAAACTTGGACACACTGTATCTCAGAAACGGAGCATTTTCGGACCCATGAACTGTTTTTCATATTTTGTTTGTAACAGTCTCAGGGGTTTGGTGGGTTTGCCGATAGGAACCCTGATGGTTCAGGAGACTATATTTATTTGCTTCAAAAGTTCAAAAGTTACAGTACATCACTTAATACAAAAGGTGGTGCAATTATACAAATAAGTAAAGAGAAGTAGGTATATTGAGAGGTCGACCAAAAAATCACAAAATAGTATAAAAGAGTTTTACCCACCTAAATATTAACTGCCCGTTCAAGAGTGAAATGGCCAGCGCAAGACATTTCGGAAATCCCCTCTTAACAATAGCCGACCTAGACGCGCGCACGGATTTTGAATCTGTAATAATGAAAAATTGGTGACCTAGCCTCCTGAGAAATAATTGATTATATATTATATTTCGAAGAGAGCATGAGCGGCGACATTGATTTGTTACATGTTGAGAGGGATCTTCCCTTGGCATTTATCACCACAACTCTGAAACACCCTGTCTATTATTGAATTTTGGAATTTGAATTTGAAAAAATTCCCGAATGAAAATAAAATTCGACGTCCAGCGTTCTTTCCAAAAATTATTCCTCTAACGAAAATGTATCCACTACTTTACGAGAGCACCTGCTAACGGACGCACTGTATACGATTCCTATGTGGAATATATATTTGAATTCAGCTTTCCATTGATATTCCAAAAATTGAATGATATATAGAGTGCGATAGAGTGTTCCATTTGAAATAATTGACGCGGTCATGATAATTATAACGTGGATCACCCTGTATATTTAATATCCCCGTATGAATGTGGCTGATTGAAATTAAAAGTCGACCTATTCCAATAAATTCTTCAGAAATTGATGGTTTGACTGAAAATGAATTTAAAGCACTGTATGCCTGTCTGACTAGAGGTTAGCACCACCAGAACTGTCTGGGTACTGAGGAAACATTCCGAATAAAATATATGTATATAGTATGACGAAAGTAAGTTGGTATTTTTAGCACCTCTGCTCCCTGTAAGCTCCCAAAGGCATCATGACCTGAACTTCATATTTGCCCATCGTTCTTACCAGTATTGGGAGCATGCGCTGATTAAACTTTCAGCTTTTATAAAATAACGAATTTAATAAAGAATTTTTGGCGTTCATGGGATCTTGGACTATAATGGAATAAGGGAAACAACGACAAAATAAATGATTCGACAACGCTGTAATAGCATGACCACGCACAACAAAATGTGCTTACCGAACTATGAACTCATGTGATGGTTGAGATCGTTCTGGAAGACCACATATACAGCCAGGTGAAGAGCGGCGTTTTCTTACTTTTCTTTCGTTTTAATAATAGCATATGCACTTAGTTGAAATAAAAAGCAATGCCAATGGGCACATTGAAACTAATAAAACTAATAATAAAAAACTAATAATGAGAACGTTAATTTCCAGTTACCGCTTGATATTTATATCACATTTAATAGGCCTTTTCAATTAGATGAAAACACAAATGACAATCGTTGTTTACATCCAGGCATCACCTTCGATACAAAATAAAATTACTATTTTCAACTTTAATGAGTCCACCACACCTCACTCTCGAGCTCCAATAGATAGAAAGGAGTCATAAAAAAATGTATGTGCAACCACCATCTCTATACCACCATATCCTAAAGTGTCTATTGAGGTTTCTCGATCTTTCACTTGTCTATAGATACTTTCAGGAGAAATGTTTTTTAGAAAACTATCTGCTATCAATCCATCACTAGTCAGCACATCCTTTTGTCGTCGGATCACTCTTTACCAGAACTGATTTGTCTATGGCAAAGCTTTGGGAATCTTTGTCAAAGGAAGTATTTCCAGGAAATTATTATCTACAAAAGTTGACAAAGATTCATGCGCTCCAAGAGTAAAAAAAAAAGTTAGAGTGGTAGATGCGCTGACTTTCACCAAATGGCAGAACCAACTTCACTTCAAAATCATGCAATGAGAAGAAGTCCTGATATATGAGAATCTCAAGAAGGGATCGATCAACGGCTAATGAACCTTACATTATGGGATCTGCATCCTCCATTCTGCTGAAGCAACTGAAAATTGG